AGTAAAACATTTTTTACATTAAACATGGATTTATTGGATTTATTATCTTTTCCATTCTAAATCATATAGACTGCTTCATTTATTATTGACGAAAATTAATAAATCTCCTCTCTTTTTTCAGATGTGAATGTTGTGGACAAACCCGTCTAAGCATTGTGAGACTCCTGCAGCACAAGAGGCAATAGCTAAAATAGTACGTATATCAATCAAGAAATTAAGCCGACATAAAGCAAAAGTTTCAACTAATCGTCTAATCTCAATTTCCTATCATTTATTCACAGGACAATTATAGCAGAAGGGGAGATATCAGAAGTCTGGCGACATACCAGTGACCGTGTGATTCCAAGAAATATAATTAGAGTACTCCATAAATGTTTGCAATAGAAGAACAACCTATGGAGGCATGCAAAGACATTTGACCCTCCGGTAGAGTTGTGTATGGCCCCCACATCCTGCATGGCTTAAAGAAAACAACTAAAAATTCTAAAGCGTGAGATTGCATAAGCGGTCCTATTTGTAAAAAGGTACAAAACACGCAAGACATACTTAAAACAGCTTTGGAAAATGAGGATTACGGGTAACTCACTACACCTGTGTTATATTTGGTTCATCAACTTTTGGTAGTACTATATAAGAAATTCAGAAAAGGGTATAATCATGATTCATGATAAAATACTGTTATATATATTTTGGACAACTTCAATCTAGACCAGGGATGTCAAACTCGCGGCCCCAGAGAACTTCCAGTGCGGCCCTCGAACGCTTAGCAATACTTGTTATAGCATTTTGGAAGTTTTTTTCTATCTAAATGTAATAGATTTTTCAAACCTTTTAAAGTGCAATTGATTATTCACACAGAAAACAATTTACTGAAAGTAGTTTTGAAATATTAATTTTTTTTTGTTCACATTTTTACCCAATTAAGAATACACATCAAGCTAGCAAAAGAATACTTGAATAAAACACTTGAGTGATTAAATTAAACGCAAAGTACATGAAGAAGGTGGTATTTTCAAAGAAAATGGAGAGTTGCAATATTTCTGCATTTCACAAAATTCTGAAGCACGTTGTTTAATTTGTTATATTTCCATCAATACAATGAAAAAACGCAATAAGCTCAGCAGTCGATATGACAAATTCGAAGAGCAACTTTGAACAGAAAATTTTCATGTATTTGTATATTAATATAATTATACAACGACTTAGTTAATATTTCAAGCAATCCTATGCCACGCAATGTGGTGCGAAATGTCTTGTCGAAAAAATCTGTCATTTGTTTTTTTACTGATCTATACATGAAATTATAAAAATAACTTTTTTGCATTATTGGAATTTATTAAACATTCGCAAAGATCCAGATTAGCCCATGATCATGTGACCTCGTTAGTTAGAGTTGGTACTATAAAATCATTTCAGCCTGGCCTTAGTATGCTGGTGACACAAAAAAGATACCAAACGTCAGGACAAATGTAATTAAAAAAACATTGAGTTTATACTGTAGTATTTTTGTTAATTTTAGGTCCATATATTTAAGTTAAGTCATTTTTAGTGTGTATTATTCTTTCCTTATCCAAAGTTTGTTCAAAAATGATTTTGATGGTTGTACATAGAATTTTATGATTTTTTGTAAGAAATACAGTAACGTGCAATAATAGTGGAATGCAAATATTAATATGTAATTGCATTTGGAATTAAAAAAAATAATGAAACTTAATCCAACTGTTTAGTTGCATCACAACATATGTCACAAACTAAAACTATCTTAAAAATATCTTTCAAGTATACATTATCGAAAACTGTTTGCGGCCCTTTTTACAATTTCCAAAACGCAATGCGGCTCTCAAAGACCCATGAGTTTGACACCACGATCTATTCTATACGATTCAAGCATTGCCTGGGAAATAATATCACTTTAATTAAATTGAAAAAAATCTTGCTATATTAAATACAAAATCGTTGCCATCATAAAGGTAAACCAATTCAGCCACTCAAAATATTTTGGCCTTCACTAAGCAATGGAGGCACAATTGAGAGTTCATGAGCTATGAACTCTTGTTCTTTTCTTTGTCTTGAACTTTTCATACTCCATAGCCGCTAATTTTTTTTTTTTTAATTTTAATTACCATGTGATGGTCGAACATATCTTTAACTTGTATTTTCTGTCATGATGTATTATTTCAATGTGTCAAACTATTAATTAGTGTGCATATTTTGCTTCCAGATGACATAAATGTATTGTCTTGTTTATTACCTCAGCTTGGACTTGGAGTATTGACAAGAAAGAGGTGCCAGTAAATTACGTAATTTTTTTTTTAACTCTTTGTTATAATCAGAATTCACAATTAATAGGAATTATAAACAGCCAATAATCAATGAGAATTATATGCGAATCCCTTAGAATAAATTTGTCTTCTAAAATCGGAGAAAGGTAAAACATATAGGTAGTTTCCATTCACACAAGTCTTTCAAGAAGACTTGCTCGAGCCAAACTAAATGAGCATGGTCAGGTGATCGGTAAGGCTTCAAGTTGAATTCAGCCCTGCAACCTCCTGCACAGAAGATAATATTAATTAGTGGGCTATGAGCTGAATTCCTAAATTTAAACAAACCTATCTACGAGGCATTATGTACCAACAATGTTACCTACGATTAACTGAATATGTGATATGTCTAATTAATTCACCTACAAAAACAAGTTCGATTGGTGCAAACTTTGTGTTATGGAATTGTATCACAGAACCGTTAGGAGAAGTAAAAACAGTTTTGCTGTCCTGTATGACACCCTCTTTAAATGAAATTTCAATGTTTTAAGCGCAAACATTAAAATTACTAACTTTGAAATTTGTCATTATCTGCAAAATGTTCCACACAAATCTTTCCGCTATCGCGTTTGTAATCTTCTCTGATAAAAAAAAGTCCATGATGTCCAGAATTGCTCTTTACAGCTTGTCTGCCATTCCAGCTTTCCAAGTGAGTAAAACTTCTTAGATATGAAGATTATTTTCTTTCGTTACAGTCGCAAAAGGGCAGGTACTACACGTAAAGAAGACGCCGAGTAGCAAAAGCGAGCTGAAAATGGTCGCGAAAGGCGACGAGAAATATGTGCATTGGAGCGTATCATGAAATACAATCTTTCGCTTGCAGTCTTACGGAGTGACGTCAGAGTTGCCTATCATGTTGTTTAATGTCATTGATATAATATAAGGTTAGTGAGATATATACGAGGTTTCAAAGTTGCATAACTCACACGGGATAATAAGATAGATAACTATCGCAACTTTCACGAAACCACACGATACCAGTTTTATTCCACTAGGCAAATTGCAAAATAAAAATACTGAACTTATCCGAATAAAATGCAAAACAGTAACAAATCTCCAAACAAATTGACAAACGAAACCTGATAAGCAGACTGACGAAGCTAAAACGAACCGAGGCTGCCGCGTTACCGCGATTCGCCGGACACATAATGGCGTCCGATATGCATCATTGCACTGGTTTCTCCACTTGGTTTATAGTCACTTTGGCTGAAACAGAAAGAACATTTATGTCTCAAATATATGGACACGAAATCTAAAACGAAACATTTCAGCAATAATTGACCGGCAAGCATACGGTGCGTGAACGAAGCTAGAAGTATCTTACCAGTACCCCCAACTGGCTTATTCATCCACAAATTACGTCACAATCACTTGATACAGTTTGACATATTAGTGTCAGTGACAGCTCCTCGTATTGACAAGATTGTCGCAGTGAGGTAATCTTTAAATAACGGAGTCAGGTGGAGGTCAGGAACGGTTTATGCAAAATTGTTACGCCTTGTCCACTGGAAGTACACTGCGCTACTAGACCACCGTGTTGCATGCTGTACCATAATAATAAAAAATCACGACTTTCTCGAAGCACGAGTTCGTAAAATCAAAACCGATGACAGTCTTGGCGTATGTGGTCGAGCTCGCTAGAATAAAAACGGTGTCCCCTTGAACAAAATGTTGGTTGGAATATCAGATCCTATGGGTTTAAAATGAAATTTAAAAACAAATGAAAGCAATAAACTTCTTGAGACAGCAACATACTTTAACCACTGGGAAGTGGTCGTCTGCCATGTATTTAAATCTTTTTTTTTCTTTCTGTGAAGCTTGAATGAGCAGTTTTCATGACCTCAATATTTGACAGCACTTGGTTGTACGAGCAAGTTTTGTCACGAATGAATCATGTCAAATCCCCAGCGCAATCACTCATTTCTGACAGTCATATGAAAAATTCGCTTCGCTACATCGTCCATCGCACCGAATATTGCCAAACGTGTTGGATAAGAGCAGTGCCAAACTTCACATTGAAATATCTATGTGTGATAGACTTAACTGTATCTTCGTATTTTTATTGTTTTTATAATTTTGGTGTGAAGGTTTTATTTGGTTTTTCATTAACCTGTAGAGGAAGTAGTGAAAACTGTAACATCTACCATGTCAAGTGGCCGCGCAATTATTCGTAAACTACATGTGACCCCTCGGCCATAAGGTTGGACTACCCTGCCTTAAAACTATCCCTCTAACCCCATTTTTAAGAACACTCTGTCCATGGCAACAAGTATACAAATAAGTTTTTCAGGTTCAGGCCACAAAACGCTGAAATACCAAATAGAATATGCAAGACAGCCCAGCCCGCAAGCAGCTGAAAATAACAATAACATACATATATGGGATTACTTCAATCAGAATATGCCTTTTACATACATATTATCAATAACAGACTCATCTTCAACCAACTAACTACCTCGCCTGCTAGATGAATTTTGATCTTAAAACAAGATGATTTGTGAAACAATACATGAACGCCATTCATGGAGTACAAGTGTTCTGCGGATCACTGATTGAAAAACACTGGTATATGCTAGTTCACTTATTAATTGTTTTATAATTTGTGAGTGCCGAAAACCGCTGAACCATCAATCTAATGAATTGGGTCAATTCCTACAAAGTGAAGTCAGAGCAAAAAAATGATTACATTACACAATTTATTTTAATCCAATGCAGCATTTAGTGTAATGGTAATTGAAAATCGAAAGGAATGTGTATCTCCAATAACATTGAATTTCAGTCTTAGAAAATAGCAAAAGCTATGCCATTTACAATACATTATGATAACGGAGGTGAAAAATTATTATCACCATAGGACACCAGGAAAGTATTTAAGTGTTAAGCATATATTATAATGACAAACAAAAAATCAAAATCTGTTGAACTAACAACCACCACGAAGACGCAAAACAAGATGGAGAGTAGATTCCTTTTGAATGTTGTAATCGCTAAGTGTACGACCATCTTCGAGCTGTTTTCCAGCGAAAATCAATCTTTGCTGATCTGGAGGAATTCCTTCCTTATCCTGAATCTTCGACTTCACATTCTCAATGGTGTCGGATGATTCCACTTCTAAAGTAATAGTCTTGCCAGTGAGAGTCTTGACAAAGATTTGCATTCCTCCTCTCAATCTGAGCACAAGATGAAGTGTGGATTCCTTCTGGATGTTGTAATCGCTCAATGTGCGACCATCTTCAAGTTGTTTTCCAGCAAAGATCAATCTCTGTTGATCTGGAGGAATTCCTTCTTTGTCTTGAATTTTGGATTTTACATTCTCGATGGTGTCCGATGCTTCTACTTCCAGGGTGATAGTTTTGCCAGTGAGAGTCTTGACAAAAATTTGCATTCCTCCTCTCAATCTGAGCACAAGATGAAGTGTAGATTCTTTCTGGATGTTGTAGTCACTCAATGTGCGGCCATCTTCCAGCTGTTTACCAGCGAAGATCAATCTTTGCTGATCTGGAGGTATTCCTTCTTTATCTTGAATCTTTGACTTGACATTTTCAATGGTGTCAGATGCTTCCACTTCCAAGGTGATGGTCTTGCCAGTGAGAGTCTTGACAAAGATCTGCATTCCTCCTCTCAATCTGAGCACAAGATGAAGGGTAGATTCCTTCTGGATGTTGTAATCGCTCAATGTGCGACCATCTTCAAGCTGTTTTCCAGCAAAGATCAATCTCTGTTGATCCGGAGGAATTCCTTCTTTGTCTTGAATTTTGGATTTTACATTCTCGATGGTGTCTGATGATTCTACTTCCAGGGTAATAGTTTTGCCAGTGAGAGTCTTCACAAAAATTTGCATTCCTCCTCTCAATCTGAGCACAAGATGAAGTGTAGATTCTTTCTGGATGTTGTAGTCACTCAATGTGCGGCCATCTTCAAGCTGTTTACCAGCGAAGATCAATCTTTGCTGATCTGGAGGAATTCCCTCTTTATCTTGAATCTTTGACTTGACATTTTCGATGGTGTCTGAAGCTTCCACTTCTAAGGTGATAGTTTTGCCAGTGAGAGTCTTCACAAAAATTTGCATCTGTTGTAATGAAAATTATCAATAAATACAAAAATTCATGACTGTACAAAGCCAGATTTCAAAGTTTATGACCGTATAGGGAAAAATCATTTATAGCCCGACTGCTACAGTACAGTAAGATAGAGTTCTAAATTTTACTAAAATTACGAGGTCCTAAACCGCAAACTGGAACCTATTACATTACGGCACACTATCCCGAATCCGGATTTGCGTCTACATTCCGGAAGAGCCAAAATATGAATAGGCGTCTGTGAAACGGGGGGCGTCGAGTCGTCTGCGAGCTCGATGCGTGAGAACGTCAGATGTCTGGATATGACGTCAAAGAAAGTCACGCACAGTTCGGCACGGCTCTCGAATTTTGCTAATTTGATTTTCGTTTTTTACCGATGTATACTGACCTATATGGTTAGATACACGATGTATTTCTGAATCATTATATTCAGTCTACTGCTGGTAGTGCCTAATTAAAATAATGTTGCGTAAATGCAAACGTCTGTGAATAAAATAATTACTTTTAAATATTATCAAGAAATTACAAAATTATGCGTTTCGATTAATTCTACGAGTCAACTAATTTTATAAGTTTTTGTGACTACATGACATCGTTTGAATTGTCGTATAACGAAGTCAAAACGATGCACGATATCGAAGTTTTTTTTTCAATAGTTAAATTAATATCGATAGTGAAACTTTGTATGCCCGTTAATACCTGTAATAACAACAATTTAACATAGCATCTTCGGTTATTAAGAACTGAAACTTCCAGAACGCACAACGATATCATTTAATAATTATATTCGAGATTTTTATTTAAATTTGAGCGTCAACAATCCATAGTAAAATAAAAGCCTCGATGATTAATTGGATTAAACTATTTTGCCAATTTGATTCTTGTTTTTCCCAGACTACGCAAGTTGATCATTTGCGGCATACGAATGCATCAATGCGGCATTATATTAATTTGATTCTTGTTTTTCACCTATCTATTCTAGCATAAATCACGCAAATTAACATTTGCGGTATATGATTGCCTCGACGTGGCATTGAATTAAAATATTCTCGTATTCTGTATACTTCGAAGTTAAACATTCGCGACATATGAATGTATCGATGCCGCATTATATTAGTTTGAATCTTGTTTTTCATCGATCTATACTAGTATAAATTACGCAAATTGAACATTTGGGCATTAGAATACATCGATGTGGCATGATATTACATTATTTTGCCAATTTGATTCTTGTTTCTTGCCGATCTATTATTGTGTAAATTACGCAAGTTGATCATTTGCGGCATATGAATTAAATTATTTTCGTATAGATTAACATTTGTGGCATATGAATGCCTCGATGTGGCATTGAATTAAATTATTCTCGTATACCGTAACTTTCGAAGTTAAACATTTGCGGCATATGAATGTATCGATGGGACATTATATTATTTTGAATCTTGTTTTTTACCGATCTATACCAGTATAAATTATGCAAACTGAACATTTGTGGCATATGTATGAATACAAAGATGTGGCATTATATTAAGTTATTTTGCTAATTTGATTCTCGTTTTTTGCCGATCTATTCTTGTATACATTACGCAAGTTGCACATTTTGCGGCATATGAATGTCTCGTTGCGGCATTAGATTGAATTATTGCTTTATGAACTAATTCATCCAATGCTATATCGAGGCATTAATTTTACTGTTTATCGATTGTGTGTTATCAAAATGTAATTTTTATTATTTCTGATCCATTTATTATCGTTAACACGCCATCCTATCTACATTGAAAATGAGAGAAACACGGCACGCCAAGGTTTACGTCGAGGAACGGCCAATGCGTGCCTGCGTGCGTCGATTGAAATTCAGTGACGTCACACGCCAGCAATCGTTTTTTGCTCATTTCTCTCGAACGCACCGGTAAAATTTTTTTTACATCGGTAGATCTGATTATTTTTTCACGAGGAATTCAATGGTGACGGTTTTAGATTGCGCTTTTTGTTAGTTTACTGCGCAGCTTCAATTTATCGATATCGGGAGACAAAATCCGCCAGACGTCCATCGAAGGAGGGATATTGATCACCGTTAAAATAGGTTTCTCTAAAACGAGAGATTGTCTCTCGATCTGTAAAGTGTGCCGTACTGTATTACACTATACAGCTAACTATAATATATGCTGTCACAAAGTTTCCGTACTTGACAGTCTCCACTATTGGAATTTGACTACATGATTAGTTCAGAAAAATTTCATGCTACAGTGCTTGGTTACTTGAGACACACAACTACAAAAAAATGTTAATATCCAGAAAGCTCTAAATTTAAAAATTGGATCACTTTGTGAAACGATAGTACAATAGTAAATTCTGACATTATAGCTCTGAGGATATCGGTGTAGGATATTCCTTACAGTTGTGCAGACTAACAGACTTATTTCAGTATTTAATTTTCATGAAACTGACGCAGGCAGTCAACTGGTCAATGTCATTCGTAAGCCTTTAGCGCTGTACAAACTTCTAATTCAGTAATTGTAGACAGTTTGGCATAAAGACATAGCCTAGCTGAAAGCGTTTCAATGAAATTAATAACTTACCGTGGCAGATGTATTTTTCAATGGCTAGAAATCTTTGATAATCTTTGTAAAAAGCGACGAAAGCTAACGCTGTAATCAACAAACGGGTAATGACGAAAATGCGAACAAAGAAGCTTTATACATCTCCTGTTACGTCACTATCACATGACTACTTCCTTGTTTGTTCGTTCATTTGCCTTCTTCTCTTTTTGGAAGGTTCTAGACTTACACGTATTCATCCGCGCGTCATGTGATTTGCGCAATAAAATAAATATCGAGCGAAATTTCGCAGAACAGCTGGCAATTTCGTAATGATTCTTTTGATGTCCCTAGGTGATTCAGCGATATAGTCATTTTTTCCTCACCTTATGTTTGTACTATCTAACAACTGCCATTTAGTAAACTATATACTCGCGGCGCAGTAAAAATCAAGTTTGGCTAAGTAACTCCGTGTCAGCTGACGCGTGGAAGCCGCGGTCGATCTGTGTGTGCGCCCGCCGTAGGTATACGATGACTTTCTCTTTGTGTGATTTACGCACTAAGTCGAAATTGCTCCAAGTCACACAAAGCCATCAAAACATGTTGTGTTACACTGTAAATATATGAATATACAACTTTAGACGTCAGCGGGAGCAGTGGACAAAAATATAATTTTCACTGATATCCATTCAGTCTACAAAGCGTGAACGTCTGAGGCCCCATTTTAACAAAATTAGAAAACATGACCAACGTTGAGAACTTTAGACTAACAGCCTTTGAAGCGCAGACAATTACACTCCATTGTCAATTCGACGAAAACGAATCGCCATGACAGTCAATAATAAGCACCGTATGGAGGCTATTTTTATGCTCAAAGATGTGTTATTGAATGTTAAACTACTTTTTTCACTTTGTTTTCTGATTCATATTCTATCTCACAAGTTGAGATTGCGCATGTAATACATTCATTTCTCGTGAATTTAACCTCGTGTAAAGTTCTGGCAAGTTCCCTAAAAATCCGTCCTGTACATTTGTGTTGTGTATTTTTTACACTACGCTAGAGGTATAGTAAATTAAGTTGTTTTTCTTTTTGATTATGTTATATATAAATAAAAATTTTGGCAGTAATTTCATTAAATGTTTCCGACATCGGAATTGTTTGTAGTACGAAGTAAAAAGGTTAAGCAGTAATTCTGATAAACATTGAACTAAGGGAACATATAAAGATGTTGCTCAGTATCTCAGCTGACGAATGAGTCAAACCAAGCGAGTAGTTATAAATTATTTCTTAAATTGTTACGTGCGCATTCACAGGGACAAAGAGACTTTTTTCACGAAAAAGCGGTTCAAAATTAATTGTAAGCAACACCTAAAATTTCAGCAGGCTGCTACCAAGTTATCTATATATATTGATACTAAGAAAATGCAGCATAGCGAAAAAGAGATATTTGTACAATGTTTAGGCTATAATGGGATTTTGTAACTCCGATAATTCAACACTAATATGTTACAGGCAATCTGTTGTACACTTGCTGTCCGGCCCAATTAGAAGTATTTACTGATAGAAAGGTTTTTAATATACACAAAGGGATAAAACCAGTGGTGGGATTCAATTTTTTTCAAATCCGGCCCGTTGGATAATTCAATCTGGCCCGCCTGATGCTGCCACAAACAAACAAAAACCAGATTTTTAGGTTTAAGCTGAAATAGCTCTCAATGAATTTGTTGAGATTTCGAATAAGTTTGATTTTGGCACGAGGCTCATTGTTTTCCACTTTCGCTTTTGTAACACTGTAAATATTGTTCATAAAATGTAACTTTATACGTCAGACTTACATGGCCCGCCAGTCTAGATGAGCAAAATTCGGCCCCTGGTCCAAAAACCTTGCCCACCTTTGGACTCTAGAATCTGGTTCTAGATTGAACATTCAGAACAAATATGGGTTGTTTATTACGATGGAATGTTAATATTTAACTAGTCCATCATGTTGTCGGTATGTCGTCAATTGCACGAGAAACGAGTTTCACACAGGCATGTGATCATCCAAAATGTATAGTGACGTAGCGATTAGAGAATACTGTATATTCATCCTGTTAGTGACGCCAGCCATTATGGCGAAATTTGGCTAAGCCCAGATGATCCCTCGCACATAATGAGTGATAAATACATTCTGCCTCGGCATTAAAATAATGAATCAAGCAGACATATATTTAGAGTGATTGTTCCTATTGCTCATACCAGGCTGACTTGTTTGACGTTAATAGCAGTAATATTATATCGTAAACAGTCAGCAGTGTGTTACAGCCTATATATTAAATATACTTAATCCCCTCAGATGATCAACAATTGTAGTATGCGCAACGAATCTGAAATACCACTATAACCATATTTCTTATGAGGTTTTTAACACCGTTGCTTTTCAATATTTTCCATACAGTGGTCCATGACATTAATTACAAAATTAACAACAATCATTGATATCCGGGTTATTTAAGAAAAGGGACAAAAATATATCCACTTGTTACGAATCAGGTAACTCTTAGTCAATATTTTTAAAAGGTGTGTGTGTGTGTAAACGTATGACACAGCAAATGTTTGGGTGATCATCTCCAAACATCGTTTTTGTATAGTTTCTTAGACAAAGCTTAGTTCGAAACAAATACTGAATAGGCTATATAGATCTTCATACTTTTAAGTGTAAGTAGTTGCTTGTACAAAACTAGTTCTCATATAGCAGGGTTTCCCAAACTTTTTCGGCCACGGAACACCTCCACTTTTTATCTCGCCTCGCGCAACACCAAAAAATAAAAGGGTAAAATTGATAAAGAAAAAGTTGTCAAATGCGCGGCGAAAACTAACAGAATTGTGTTAAAATACCTAAAATAGGATTGAATATTTTACATGTTGCATTTATTATTAATGTTTTATTGTTTCTTAATTTAAATGCTGGTGTGTATATGAATCAATAAATTCATTTTACCATTCTATGTCGTTTACTCTCCATTACGTAATGTTTGCCTCTAATGTTACGTCTAATGGAGATAGAAGTACTTGCTGCAATTTCGCTGCATTTATCTACTTAATAGAGTTTAGCGAAAATGAGTAATTTTTTCAGCATTTCAAAGTAAAACCAGGCAGAGATGTAGGAAAAAGAGTTGACCATTTGCCTTTATTCTTTAGGTCTACTCGTTTGCCAATAGCAAAACCAAAATGATTGCTGTAAACTTGATAATTAACTTAACAGTCAAAAAGCTAGGCCGACAGTTATCGAAAATGCCACTACCCCTTTCCAGTTAGTACTATTTAAGCCGATGGTGACGCGATATTGAACGGTCAGTTGGGCGACAACTTCACGTTCCATGGATCAGGGCTTCTCAAACTTTTGAGCTCGCGATTATATATTAAAAATTTTCGCGGCCCTTGTCCTCGTTAAAAATGGTAAACAGTTCGAAATATGCGATTTTGATGTTTTGTAAAATTGGTATTCTCTTTGCGGCCCTTAAAATTCGTTTAGCGGCCCCTAGTTTGGGAAGCCCTGCCATAGATCTCCATGGCGACTATTTAAGACGATTTTTTGATTCCTTTTCCACGGAACACTTCGAAGATGCTCGCGGAACACTAGTGTCCCGCGGAACACAGTTTGGGAAACGCTGTCATATAGGGTTATGAACACCAACATGCTTGCCAAAAGTGTCTTATACACTACAGAGCCTATACATCAGAAGTGGGCAACCCTTCGCACAACTACCCGACACGCGAGTCTCGGAAACCAAATCTTTCCTATTCAGTTAAATAAAAGCTTCAAGGGTCGGCATCGTTTGTAAGAACTCAGTGTTTGTTTCCTCGTTTTCGTTTGTTAACGATTCTTTGTTACTCTTTTGTCTTTTTATTACATATGGACACAAAGAAATATGTTATTGTGTAACAACTAGCTGAGCTCTCAGCCTTCAACAAATTTTCTGTTTTCAATTAGGGTTAATACATTCAATTTTGATTTATTGTGATATCACTGTTTGGAGGAAGTTTTAACATTTCTTCAAAGTTCATTGTAGATATCTCTAAAATGTCAGTAGTATATCTTCTCACAAATTTCGGTGGCAAGTAGGAAAATTTTGTCATTGAATTTAATCGATTTTGGCACTCATACCGAAAAAGGTTGACTGCCCTGAATTAGAACAAAGGTGATGGACACCAACAGAACAGGTTATGGCATCTATTGTCATTTTATAAAAAAAAAAAACATTTGACCTCACACTTTTGTAATGTCATGACATGAGCGTGTCGTATTCCTAATATTGTGGGTTTCAAGAAACTAATTGTTCCGGGCAGGCGCAATTAGTTCTTATTTAAATTTAAAAAAAAATTGACCTTCATTATATGTTCATCACTCATCCAGATGTCATTATATTATTCAGCTCAGTTTCGTTCAAGGAAATCTCAGGATACTAAACAAAGGACAAAAAGGGTAAAACGACTTTACTTAAAGTAACATGAAAGCATGAGGAGTCAAGCAGAATCTTGCGTTATGAGATGCGTAACCTGACACAACTAAACGTAGAGTGGCTGCTGTCTCCACAATTAAAAGTCAAGCGGGACGGCCAGAGACAACGCCGATCAGCGGGCGACACGACTTGGAGTTAGGTGTCGCTATGCTAATATCATTAAAAGGTTTCACGGATGGTTATTTTGTCGACGTCTATTCTCACGGTACTTCTATTTTTGTACGTTGGTACTTTTTTGTATGCTTGCGTTTCATGGGTATGCTCTACAACAGTGTTTCCCAATCTATGGGTCGCGACCCAAAGCTGGGTCACCTGGAAACTCCATTGGGTTCCTTGTTTTTTCAACAAAACAGATTGTTGATCAATAGTAATTGTATATGTGGAGAGTATCCCAGAATAAAAACTTGGGATGCATCTTTTTGCACAAGTGGAGCCACGCCACGATTTGAAAAAATCGCTGATGGTAAACAAATAATAATGCTGAAATAATGAAAAAAATAATAAGAAAATAAATATGATGGAAAAATGATTTGGGCGTATCCTTAAATTGCCGTATTTTACAAAATTGATATTTTATAAATTTGTGTCACTTGAAAAAGGGCTGGGAAACACTACTCTACAACATATGTATAGACGATGACTTCCTCTTTCAGTTGTGGGATTCGGAATTTTATGAACGGGTTCTTTTTTGAGTTCGCTGACTATCGCGGCATTTCGAGAACAGATTCGTGCGAGTCTCACCACTGAATTTCTTGCTTATGAATACTTCCTGTCGGCAATAGTGAAATTGCCTAGGACTTTCACGATTTTGTCACATATCGAAATATACCGGGAATGTTGGGTCAAGGTATCAAACCAAATATAGCTAATCTATCTCAGGGCTTGTTCATGATCTTCAGTTCCCAACAATCAAGAACTGTTCAGTAATGTTCTTTAGTATCATGACCAGTGGTGGGATTCATTTTTTTTGTCAGCCGGTTTCTTCACAAAAGTCATATCTTTCAGCCGGTTCTGTTACAAACAGAACATAGACAGTAACCAGTAATGCTATCCGGTTCGCTGATCTCATAAAATTCCGTGTGACGGTTCTATAGAACCGGTGCGAACCGGCTGAATCCCACCACTGATTATGACGTATAGCAAAATGCGAAATAATTCACATGATCATAATTACTTCCTTGTACATGTCATTGATTTGTCAGTCTCATTATCTCGTATATATGTTGTCGTTGTATTCTGATTCAATAGGATTGACGTGGTAGATGTCATATCGAGGCATAAATATAGATTTGCGTAATCAGCCGGTTCGCACCGGTTCTTTAGAACCGTCACACGGAATTTTATGGGACTGGGCGCCCCATCCCGTCCCGCACCGCACGCCGCTCTTTCTTGGCTCATTCGAGTTTACTGTCTTTCGCTCTTACAGGCTTACATCGCAAACATGAGATCATTGCTTCTTGTAACCGAAATAAAATGAACGTTTCCCGATTTATTGTTCAAATATAGGTAGTTTTCAATTTTTGAAGGAGATGTATTGAACTTTCTTCGTGTTATGACAAAATTATTCGTAAGGTAATAAAATCTAGGTCTAAAAATTGAGTCACGGGGAACTAAAAATTCATTACGTAAGTTTGAGATTGACAACCAAAATGAACGACACTGATTTTGCGAATAATCAGAAGAGATTTCATGATGACAAAAACCTTCATCAGATGATTCACATATATGAATTTTGTGCTGAAATCCCCAACTGCAAACTCTCTGATTAAAATTTTCAAACCAACTGACTTGGCTTCGTAATGACGATAACTACTAGAGTACTATTACTGAAAGTTAGCTAGAATTTTTTCTTTAAATGGAAGATTATTGTGTTATAGCTTTTTTAAAACCTTCTAGTTTTGCTGCAATTCCCAATATACTGGAATGGCATTTCATATTAACGACTGTAAACGCTAGCTAATTAGTTCACAGATCACAACAAGCTGGATCTATTAACGATTGGTCGTTTAGAAACGTGTGAAGTGTATCAAAATGCAGAATATTCAGCGTTCAAGGTAATACTTCCTTGTACCATGACACCAATTTGTCAGACTCGTTTTCTCTTGCAGTGACGTCACATTCCGAGTCAATAGATTGACGTACATAAACCATATGCCTCTTCATTAGTTCATTGTAGTTCGTTTAGTTTATACACATATATAAATGATCAATGATTCATTTTGATTGTCAATTTTTACTAATCCTTTACTATTAAACCATGGCAATGAAGACTGTCTTAGGACGCTTCTTCATTATCTTGTTAAATATTTACACCAGAGCTCAATTTTTAGAAATACAATATAAACTTTTATTATTTACATTTATCATCATATTTTCCAGAAAATGAATTTTACAGAAGTATGTTCTAAAAGGACAGACACAAAGTATACACAATATTAATAATTACAGGGCGTTTCATTTTGATTAAATATTCGTGAAAATTTCGAGATAACCAATCGTTAATCAAGCCAGTATTGCCAAGGCCGCGGATGATCGTTTTTTCGAAATTTCGTTTTGTACTTTGTGAGTCGGGATTTTTATTGATATCTTTTTTCAATTCAACTTTCAGCATACTTTATCATTTTAGCGAGCTGAGAATAGTAATTTATTTTACATGGGAATTGGGAGGGCCCGTAGCTTTCGCCAGACGATTAAAGGTCTTCGCAAATAACATATTGTTAACAATCACTGTGTTAGATTGACATATTTTATGTCAGGACTCCACCAAGAGTACGTTTATGTGGATATGAAAAACGATTAATAAGAACTTGCTAGAACCAAGAAATCTTCGGTATTTACGGCCCTGGTCTAGTGGATATAAATACAATAAAAACTTATGCAATCATATTCTGGTTTATAGAGCATTGAGTCGTAATACTGAGTGAGTAACAAGTTAACACTCACAAAGAATCTGAGTTTGTATTTCAGTTCACTATTGGGTAGCCATGTCAGTCCATCCATCCACCTCGTAGACGACCAACCAAGTGTACAACTGAATTTTCATGGATGCCGTATTCTCGGAGAACGCGTTGGTTTTGCAGGGTGCGACCTTCATGTGTCAACGTTTGCTGGTTTGGAATGACACGTGTATTTTGTTCCACCTTGCTTTTGAGATCGTCGACAGATTCACTTAAGCGCACTTGTAGAGCGTGACTTTGTCCGTTAAAGTCTTTAACTGTGATGTTGAACGTTTTGAAAAACAGTTGGACTGTTGAGCCGTCACAGACACGAAAATGGTTTAGTCTGCCGTTTCCGATTTCTATGCCGTTGAACATCAAAACTTGCTCTTGTACGGAAAATCCTGTTTTGTCGCGAATCATATTCTTTACTTTTTCTACTGATATGCTTTCTTCAACATGTAGCTGAATTCTTTCGCCGTTCACCTCGACTACAATGTGAATGAAACTCCTTTCTTTGACGACAACCATTACCGTGTCCCCATGTTTGATTCCACAATCTCGAACATATTCTTGGACTATTTTATCCCCTTTAAAAATCAGCTGAATTTGATCAACTGCATATTGAGTGTTTCCCAATGCGTTGATAACCGTTTTTTTAAGTTGCACGACTGTTTCGGTATGTTCATTAACGTTAACCTCATTACTCCAGCCATCTAATTTCTTTAAAAGTATTTTCATGCTGAATTTTTTAAAGTTCTTTTTTCAATCAAAAACTGATCGGATAATCGAACTATCAAGCATAAGTACAACAACACGATAGGCATGATTGTTATCTTCCACTATTTATATACTTTCTATAAGTCTCTGCCACGGTGGATCACCTCATAAACGTCATGATGACGTTACCAAAGTCGACTCATGTGAAGATTCAAACACGTCAATACCAGGCCAAGAGTCATATCAAAACGTATCTAGGTTATAAGTGACAAAAACAATTATACGAATTTAAAATATTATTCGTATTTAGTATACAATGCAGTATTAAGTTTCAGTATCCAAAAGTACCAATCACCATGAGGTCACGACGATATTTGAAACCGCAATATGTCCTTTTAGTTATACTTGTACACATACAGTAAATACAAATTTTTTGTAAGGATGTAATGTGTGCTCAGGATTCCCTGTTAACATTATTAAAGGATGGAAACCATCTTTAGGTCCCAAAATTTCACATGAACTTGGAATTTTCTATATTAAGCCCCACCTATTTATTATTTAGTAAATTTGTGAATATTTTACTCGAACCCGATGCGAGATTGATTACGCAGAAATATTTCAATAGTCAAAACTCCAATTCAAAAAGACGTGTTGTGATGTTTTATAAAGGCAGCATGGCAAACAAACTCGTCACACACATGTGCCAAAGGATAGTTGATGAACACTTTTTTATTGAATATTTCAACATTTGTTATTGCTTCAGTTTTAGTGTCTTGGTATCCAGTCTGCATGTTCTCCTCTGGCTTGAGGAAGACCAAACTTATTAGTTGGGGACTTGCTGCTTTGAAATTATCTGTATTATAAATATCACCAAAACAATTGCTATGAGACAATAGGGTTTAAATATCAATTCTAAAAATGATATGTTGGCGACTTTGGCTGTTTGCTGTAATAAGGGAGGCACCGTATTAGGTCAGACGCACCTGGAAAGGGGAAGCACCGACATCGAAAAAGAATTCCCGTGATGCAATATCTGGTGTTGATTGTAGTCCGTGTCTATTATTATTGAATTAGGTGAGGCTATTTGATTCTATTTAACACTGTAGGTTATATATATACACATGTGTACACATTCTTTGTGTCACGCGAGAAATTCTTATCCTTTCATTTGTTCGAAGGGTAATTTCGAAACGCTGCCGACACAAGTACATAGCATACTGTTATTGCAGAAGCTAGTTTATCAATGTATGGCTTTTAAGATTTATACTGGACAATAAAAGCAGGGCAAATTAAGTTTTGACTCGAACAAAAACGACCAAGTCTGTGAAATTTCAAAAATTATCACCAAGTTGTAGAGAAGGATTCCGCTGTGAACTCTCATAACTAGTTTCAAGCAATATTTCAAATTCGATTTAATTGTAACGATTTGATAAACATGACTGTCATTGATGTTTTAAGAACACTTCAAAATACCTTCGTAATAATAAAAAGATTGTGTTTGGAAATATCAATTTCAAAAATCATCAATTACGGTACATCGAATACGCCAAAATCTGTTTTTGACTACTCCTGAATATGAGGTTGCAATTAACAGATATAGGTTATATTCGACTCATAGCTGGATGTATTTTAGTTTATAGATCTCGGTACAATTATCACCATGTCATTTAGAGTGGAGACATTTGAACACATTTAAGAACAAGTCTTCACATAAGCATAGCATTGATTGTCAGAATAAATGTTGCGCGTATCTGCCCTAAAAGTCTTACCTGCTCTCCATATGGCAGCCCAATACAAGAGAGGCAATTCATATACTGGCTACTAACTATTGTACAATATCTAAATACACGACGAATCATATGAGGCACAAGTGAACTTTTGAACGCAACAGCTTTCATATAAAATATTCCACCAGGCAATCTATTGCAATCTATAACTTCAGCAACAAAAATAACATTATTTTTTTTCACCGAATTTTATTGATGATAAAATAAAGATTTATATCAAAATAAAATCAATCACAGATATATATATATTGGAATCGAAGACAAAAAAGGGAAACGTATGAACACAATATCATATCCTCTTCTCATGTAACTGTATCAGATCTTTAAGCATCGAAAGAGAGTCACAATTGAACGATCTTTGATATTATTTTGCAGTACAGTGTTTTACTAGGAAACACAATAATGGAAATCTAAGTTAGCTGTAGCAACAAAGTTAAATTCCTTATAGACATAGTGAACATTATATCACCAAGGCTAATATCTTAAATTATTTAAAATCTCTCAAAGTGGAAAAAATAATACTAAAACACCACAATCAATGCGTTTCCGTTAAAATTGCTAAAATTGTCCATTTAAAAAAAAGAATTTTGTTAAAAGCGCGTATAAGATAATTAATTAGGCAAGAGCAAATATACAGGAGAAAAACAGAACTTGATAAATTATCCGACCTTTCAGTTCCAATGTTAAAATATATCTTGGTATATAACAAATTCAGCCTAATTGGCCATCACAACAAATCTTCACAGTTTCAAATGTACTATTCAATCAACTATCATTGATATTTTGGGATTTTTTCTAGAATCTTACAAGTAACTTTAAGTCTATTCACTCCACGTTTTCAATCTCGCATATATTTCGGATACACTATCACTTTTATTTCAAATATTTAAATATGGATATTTAGAAGGAATCAATCGTGAAGCAAGTCATTTGATGATCTTATATATTTGAAATCTGGTTATTACTTGTTAGCCCAGAATCAAAAAAATCTTTGGCATTTACAACCATGGTCTAGTGGATATTTATATATATAAATACAATAAAACTCATAGAGTGCTGAGACGTAATTTGAGTTTGCATTACAGTTTTCCCATCGATGGTCATGTTAGTCTTTCATCTACCCACCTCGCAGACGGCCAACCAAGTGTACAACGGAATTTTCATGAATGCCGTATTCTCGAAGAAGGCGTTGGCTTTGCAGGGTGCGACCTTCATGCGTCAACGTTTGTTGGTTTGGCATGACACCTGTCTTTTGTTTTATCTTGCAGTTGAGATCGTCGACAGTTTCACTTAAGCGCACTTGTAGAGCGTGACTTTTCCCGTTCAAATCTTTAACTGTGATGTTGAACGTTTTGAAAAACAGTTGGACTGTTGAGCCATCGCAGACACGAAAATGGCTTAGTCTGCCGTTTCCGATTTCCATGCCGTTGAACATCAAAACTTGCTCATGTACAAGAAAGCCTTTCTTGTCGTGAATCATATTCTTCACATTTTCTACCGATTCGCTTTGTTCAACATGTAGCTGAATTCTTTCCCCATCTATGTCGACTACAATTCGAATGTAACTTCTTTCTTTGACGACAACCATTACCGTGTCCCCATTTTCGATCCCACAATCTCGAACATATTCTTGGACTATTTTATCCCCTTTAAAAATCAGCTGAATTTGATCAACTGTAAGTTGAGTGTTCCCCAATGCTCTGATAGCTGTGTTTTTAAGTTGCACGACTGTTTCGGTATGTTCATTAACAATAACCTCACTACTCCAGCCATCTAATTTCTTCAAAAGTATTTTCATGCTGGATTTTTTGAACTTCTTTTTCAATTCAAAACTGGTCAGATAATAGAACTATCAAACATAAGAACAACCAGACAATAATCAGCGATCGTTATCTTCCTCTATTTATATACTTTCTAAAAATCTCAACTACGGTGGATCCCCACAAAAACGTCACGGGGAAACTACCAATATTGAGATATGGGAAGGTGTATTTACCTCAATTCTAGACCAAGAGTCGCATTAAAAATAAACATAACTAGTTCATAAGTGCTTCTTTATAAGTGAAATATCATTCGCATATTAGGTATATATATTCAGTATCCAAAGCTTCCAATCACAAAAAGGTCACGACAATATTTGAAACAGTAGCATATCTTGTTCTTAGTGATGAGCTGAACGTTGTATTTGCAACATTGCAATGTGAAAACGTGAATAAAAATTGTATACGTATAGTATTCACAACCTTATAAATATTTGTAGTGGTGTATGTGTTCCCAAGAGTCACTGGAAACATTGCTAAATGAAATATAGCGCCATTGGGTCGCTGACTTTCACGTGGACTTGAGATATATATTATTTAAAAACCCATGTATTATTTTGTAAATTTAAGAAACTTTTTGTCTCATCTGATGCGAGAGTAAATACGCAGAAATATTTCAATATAGTCAAAGACACATGAAACTAATCACGAGAGTTCACTGCGGAATCCTTCTAAGCTTAGCAATTTTTGAAAATCCGTGGACTTAGTTGTTTTTGTCCAAGTCAAAACTTGATTTGCCCTCTTGTTATAGTATAGTATAGATAGACCTTAGAAGCCACTCATTGATAAACTACGCTTGTGCAATTTACACCCGCTACAAATTATATGCATGTAATCTATATTTGTTTGGGCGTAGTTCTGTAATTACCCTGTGGACAAACAAAATGATAAAGATTTTCTCTCGTGACAAAAAGCACGCGCACACGTGTGTAAATAGCCTCGCCTAATTGAATTATAATAGACACGAACTAGACACTAGAATCTACATGGATATTACACCGCCGGAAATATTACGGAGCTTCCTCAGCACAGCGAAAGACGCCAGCGTATCAGTCTTTAAAGAGGATATTTAAACCCCATTTCCCCATAGAATCATATGCATTTTATAAGTTACTCTTTAAATATAAAATATTATCCGTATAATAAGTTTTAGTATCCAAAGCTTCCAATCACAAAAAGGCCACGACTATATTTGAAACAGTATCATGTCTTGTTTTTAGATGAACGTTGTACTCAATTCGCAACATTGCAATGTATGGAAACGTGAATAATAATTGTATACACAGTATTTACAACGTTATATTTATTTGTAGTGGTGCATGTTTGCCCAAGATTCACTGAAAACATTATTAAATGAAATATACCGCCATTAGGTACCCCAATTTTACATGGATTTTAATTTTTCCATAATACCCGATCTATTAATTGGTAAATTTGCGAAATTTTTTCTCACGTGATGCGAGAGTAAATACGCAAAAAGACGTGTCGTCAAGCAAACAAACTCGTCACACACATAAACCGAAATATATTCATTTAACGCTTGAATATTCCAACATTTGTGATTGTTCCTATATTGGTGTCTTGGTATTCGGTTCACATTTTCTCCTCTGGCCTGAAGAAGGCCAAATTATTATATCGCGGACTTGTTGTTTTGGAATGCTCTGAATAAAAAATACCATTAAAACAATGTCAATGAGGTTTAGATATCCTTTCTAAGGACTGATATGCTGTGGAGCTCGGTTGTACTGACGAAGCACCGTAATAGATCATACGCACCTGTAGGGGAAGCACCGACATCGAATATAAATTCCCGGTGATGTAATATCTTGTGTAGATTGTGGTCTGTGTCTGTTAATATTGAATTAGGTGAGGCTTATTTGAACAGTTGTAGGTTACATATATATACATGTGCACACATTCTTTGTGTCACGCGAGAAAATCCTTTATCTTTTTATTTGTTCGAAGGGTAATTTCAGAACTCCGCCTACACAAGTGCGTAGCATACAAACATTTAATTTGAAGTGACTCCATATTGCGTAAGCGCTGGTTATTACTGTATGGGTTTTGGAACGTGAACCACACTACTGCTATTGTGCAATACCTAAATTCACGGTAAATCATATGCGGCACAAATGACTTTTAAGCGAAACAGCTTTTATATAAAATAAAATATTCTGTCCTATTGAGGATTTTGTGCAAACTACAACTTTAACAGCAATAATAACATTATTTTTCTGTACAGAATTTTATTTACATCAAAATGAAATCAAGCACAAATATATTGGAATTGAAACCTGAAGCAATTTTATGACAAAGTTACCAGCACATTATTATGTCTTGAAGTATTTGGAATGCACTAGCAGTAATGAAAAGATAAAAAAGGAAATGTATGGGAACATTGCCACCTCGCCTTCTCATGCAACTGCATCAAATACTTGAGTATCGGAAGCGTCACAAATGAATGCTGCTTTGATTATATTTTCAGTAAAGTGTTTTTCTAATACATAATAGGAAATAGAATAATAGGAATTTAAGTTAGCTAAAGCAAGAAATTGGAATTTTATAGAATAGACGTTCTGGACGTTATCGCCAAGGCTGATATCTTAAATTATATTTAAAAAAAGGATCTTAAATTAATAAACATATACATCATTGCTTAATTTTAAAAATATTGATATAAGCGCGTATAAGATCATTAATTAGAATCCGCTCAAAAGCAAATATAGTAAAGAACTTGAGAATTCATCCGCCACGAAGTCGACCTTTCAGCTCCAATGTTGAATTTTGTTGAATGCCATATCTAGGAGTCTTTGGCCATCCATTAGCTGCCGCCCAGCGTATTCTAAACGTTGCTGGCTTGCTGTGACACCAATTTTCCTTTCGACTTGCTTTTTGAAATCTTGAACTTTGTCGGTCAGATGTACTTCGAACGTATGTGATCTGCCTTCAAAATCTCTGACAAATATTTGAACTTTTTTGAAATACAAGTGCAGAGTTGATCCGTCTCCAACTTCACTATGATTCAATCTCCCGTTGATTTCTCTCCCATTAAACATAAGCACTTGCTGATCAACGGAAAATCCTTCCCTTTCTTGAATTTTTTTCTTCAGGTTCTGAACAAGTTCGCTATGTTCAACATCAAGTGGAATTTGTCGACGTTCGTGCATCACAGTAATTCGAATGAAGTTTCGTTGTCTGACAACAACTCACTGTGTCGCCTGGCCTGATGCCACAATCTCTGATCCATAAACGATCACTGGTTATTTCATGTTCTTTATAAAATAAATGAATTTGATCTACTGTAAGCTCTTTGTTTCCTATCATTCACAACAGTTTCTTTGAGATGGGCAACTGTTTCTGTATTCTCGTTAACAGAAATTTCTCTCCTCCAACCGTCCACCTTTACAACAAAAATTTTCATATTGAACGTATCGAATGACTCAACCAACGCTTCTTAGTTATGAACACTTCGATGGGCAAGTTAACAACTGAAGCAACACTAGCAATGCGATTAATTATATTGTTCCTTTTTCGTAAAATGTGGAAATATAAAAAAAATATGCCAGGTATTTATCCTGGTGAATCCCATTGCCGATCTGGCCATGATTATTACATCATATGTTTCTAGAATCTTCTACTCGACGGTTTTGGGAACTAGATTTGATAGATACTGCCATGTTTAATCCTATACCATTTGTTGAACGCAATTAACACGTCATGCGTGAGGCAATAGTATTTTGCGGCGTAAAGACAATGAAATCTATTTCAGCATGCTCGAAATCAAAAGATCAATAATCATAGGTTATATCCCATTGTCACAAACAACTAATAAAAGTCGATCTGAATTTATAGTCCAATTTTCACTGTTTATAGATCTCAATCATGGAATAAATGAACACTGGAGTATTTTATTTTTTAATTGGCAAAAGATTACTGCGCGCACAGCCATGTTTTACAGACCATGTTTCACCGATACTCTGGTTTCGGGTTATGCGTAGCGTATAGGCGTATGTCTGTTGCGGGAATTGGCCTTATTTCAGTTTAAATAAAAATAATAACCTAACTAACACACAAAAGCTACACTTGTTGAGGTCATACCTGAATATACTTTTCACTCTAATGTTATAACAAAAGCCTTCAACCCATGATATGGCGTAAGATTAAAATGCGTAACCCAAACAACATGATGATTGCACCACTTCAAAGAAATGGTCACTGCCCCATATCGATCTTATTTCTTGAACTTGGTACTCGTTGGATTATTATGGGCTTATGGCTGTATGCCTAATACATATAATCCATATTTACTATACAGAAGAATGGATACAGTCAGGTCCACTTACAAGACATAAAAATATTCGTTCTTACGAATTACGCAACATACATTAAATGTGGATGTACGCGGACAACATTGACTGTGATTTGTATGCGAACTTTATCTTCCTTAATTATTATTCGTGAACCCTAATACGATTGCGTCGAATATATAAGGATATTGCAGGACACCTAAATCAGTATTTGCTTCTTTCGTTGCGTGTGAAACTAAGTAAAATAAAATGAAAAAAATGTTTTTTTATTTGGTTGTATATTTTATCGAAAATATAAAAACTATTACATTTCTTATTAATATGTATTTAATAATACACAATAGGAGACAGAAGGATGAAAATTTAAGTTAGCTATAGCAACAAAGTGAAATTCTATACAATAAATATTTTTCACCAAGGCTGATAGCCTAAATTATATTAAAAAAACGCATCTTAAATTTTTTTTAAATAACGTTGAGCCACTACAATCACTGATTCATAAAATTGCCCATTTTCAATAAATTAAAAAATAATTGATTGAAGAGCGTATAAGATAATTAATTAGACTCAACTCAAGAGCAAATATGAAAAACAGAACTCGATAAATTATCCGCCACGAAGACGACCTTTCAGCTCCAGTGTTGAATTTTGTTTAATACCATGATCTAGGAGTTTTTGGCCATCCATTAGCTGTCGTCCAGCGTATTCTAAACGTTGTTGGCTTGCTGTGACATCAATTTTCCTTTCGACTTGCTTTTTGAAATCTTGAACTTGGTCGGTCAGATGTACTTCGAACGTATGTGATCTGCCTTCGAAATCTCTGACAAATATTTGAACTTTTCTGAAATACAAGTGTAGAGTTGATCCGCCTCCAACTCCGCTATGATTCAATCTCCCGTTGATTTCTCTGCCTTGGAACATAAGAACTTGCTGATCAACGGAAAATCCTTCCCGTTCTTGAATTTTTTTCTTCAGGTTTTGAACAAGTTCGCTATGTTCAACATCAAGTGGAATTTGTCGACGTTCGTGCATCACAGTGATTCGAATGAAGTTTGTTGTCTGACAACAACATTGACTGTGTCGCCTGGCCTGATGCCACAATCTCTGATCCATAAACGATCACTGGTTATTTCACTTTCAAAAAATAGGTGAATTTGATCAACTGTAAGCTGTTCGTTTCTTAACTCATTCACAACAGTTTGTTTGAGATGGGCAACTGTCTCTGTATTCTCGTTAACAGATATTTCTCTTCTCCACCGTCCAACATTACAACAAAAATTTTCATATTGAGCGTATCAGATAACTCAACCAATTTCTTAGTTATGAACACCGTGAGGAGCAAGTGAACAAATGATACAACACCAACAATGCGAGTAAATATATCGTACCTCTCTCTTGAAATGTGGAAATATTCTTGAAAATGAGCCAGGTATTTATCCTGGTGAATCCCCATTGTCGATTTGAGCATCATTATTACATCATATATTTCTAAAATCTTCTACTCGACGGTTTTGGGAGGTAGATTCGATAGATACTGCCATGTATGATCCTATACCATTTGTTTAAGGCAATTAACGCGTGATGCGTGAGGCAAAAGTATTTTGCGGTGTAAAGGGACTGAAATCGATTTTAGAATGCTCGAAATCAAAATATCAATAATTTCAACACGCGAATTTTCCTTCATTCACGATAGTTTAGGTATGCAGAATACTAGTATAGATAAACGGACAATATTTTTGACGAAGGCCTTTCGAGAGAATGATACACCTATTTATTTGATCCCTCGCTCATCGAACATGGTAGTTTCCGTCCCATTTGTTACACAAACGACTGGGAAAAGTCGATATATATTTATAGTCCAATTTTTACTTCCATCTCAATCATGAAATAAATGACAATGGAGTATTTTAATTTTTAATAGGCTCAAGATGACTGCGCGCATAGCCAGAATTCATAAACAGATTTCCGATACCCTGGTATCGAATGCGGGTTACGCGTAGCGTAGGCGATGTCTGTTAGCTTTATCTTAAAATAACTAAGAATAATAACATACCCCATAAAAGCTACACTTGCTGAGGTCATACCTGAATAATATAATTTTCACTCTATTTTTATAACAAAGATCTTTGGCACATGATATGGCGTAAGATTAAAAAGCGGAACCCAACCAACATGATGATTGCGCCACTTCAATGAAAGCGTCACCTCGTCATATCGATCTAATGATTCTTAAACTTGTTACTCGTTGAAAAGTCATTATGACTGTATGTTTTGTACATATAATGCATTTTCAATTCAGAACAATGGCGCCCACCTAAAAGATATGTATGTATAAACCTTTTTTTTTAAATTACGCATATTAACTTGTCAAATTATGTGTGGATGTACGCGGACCGGACAACATCGGCTATGCTTCGTAGGCGAACTCCCTTTTACTTATCAAGCTTCCATCTTCCTTAGTTATAAATCGTTAGCCTTTCGCTTCTGTCGAATATATAATGATATTATAGGATATATATTAAAATTAGTACTTTCATCTCTCGTTGCCTTTGAAATCAAGTAAAATAAAAAATCTTTCTATAGTTAGTTGTTTATTTCATTCTATCAAAAACATAAACATTTTATTAAATACAGTAAAACAGAATATTTAGGAAACATTCTTTAAGAATATATCTCAATAGTTACACTCAAGATCTTTGTTCTGCTTATAAATATTTACGAATCTGACGTCTAGTTCAAAGCGCAGGTGTGAATCACATACAGCCAATATATAGGTCAATATGACCATTGTAGCCTACGTGTGCCTTGACCTATATTTTCTGATGCCTTTCAATTAAATAAGTTTTATTGAAGCAAATGAACAATTCGTTTAAAAAAAGATGCCTAATAACATTGTACAATTTTATCCTCCGCGATTTGCGCCGGCAACATGAATTTTAGAACCAGACTTAACCCGTTGCTTCCAAGGCTCCCACTTGTCAAGCGCTTGTTCCCTTTACTGGTGGTCTGAAGAAACATGTGCTGTTGCCTGGGTAATACTTCTGTCTCATCGTATACTCTTGTTTTGAGTTCATCCACTGTGTTACTAGCTGTTACTTCCATCGGTACTGATGTTCCATCGAAAGACTTTACATTAACAGTAATCGGTGCCATTTTAAGCTCCAAACGTCTCCGTTTTTTACACCATAGTGATCCAGCTTTCCCGATAGAGTTTTCTTGTCATATGTCAGAATTTGCTGTTCTGGAATGTATTCTTCATTTTCATCGTGTATCAGGTTTTTAATAGTATCGATGCTTTCGTTTGGTTTAACCATGAGACTTATTATTCTGTCGTTCTGTTTCGGCAGCTTTACAGAAATTCTAATTTCGACCACTCTACCGATAACCAGATTAATTGTAGCATTGTCGGTAATTTCGTACTTCGAAAGAAGGATCCTCATTGCCAAACGTGAGTTTTAGCTGACTTAACTGTAGACCAAGCTGAGATGCGATTTTTTCTTTCAAATCATCGACTGAGGCATCCTTTAACATTCGGATAATAAATGATTTGTCGTCAATTGGTTGAATTTTCAAATCCATTTTGAAGAACTTTCCCACCTAATAGGTTTCCAGGAATGAGAACAAATATCTTAGACAATAGTTTATAATCATTCACATCACATGATAAAGCATCACGAGGTGTTGAAAATAGAAATATTTTGGGTAAAGCACCTGAACATGTACTCTTTCCTGCGATAGGTTGAATAATTTAATATTTCACGCGTGACTACCGTCGAAAAGTAGAGAGAAAATTATTTCTACTTGATATCTTTATAATACAATTACTTCTCTTAGTCCTTGATGACGTAAACCAAACCAACTTCGGTCATACTTTTACGTATTTTTATATGGGAATTCGGCCAAAGTAATGACGGGGACACTCGCTCTCTGTTGCCAAAAATATTTTTGCAGTGACGAATTTTACAGTTGATTTTTTGTTTTTTTTTGCCTCTGTGATCAATTTTAAATTCGTTCTTGGGTATGTATATTATATATATATATATATATATATACAGAAAAATTGGAGCAATGCGAATAAAATATATTTCATTCAAACTAGTTCATTCAAATGTTACTGAATCAGGATATTTTATGTGGAACTGCCACAGATTTGTATCGTCACAACATGAATTGATTTTTTGCGTGTATCCTGTGCGTCCTCTGACTCAGAGAATCTTCACCCAAATTATAAACAGTTCATTTTGACGTAAAGTAAACATAGAAGGATAGAACAAAACAATGAGTAAGATTCTACTCAAGAACTATGAAATGAAAAAGGGCCTTGGGAGGCATAAAAGCAGCACAATAGAATATAGCAGCATTCACATTGCAGCTATGTGAACAACAGTTCATTCTATTTTTGGTTGTTTCATTGAAATAAACTTCTAATTTTTGATAATATAGTTGAGATGTTTTGAATAAGGCGTTTTAAAGAACCTTTGTTTGATACATATAATACAGATGAACTTTTATACAAAGCAAACCCATATACGAACAACACGTTTTCCTATTTGTTACAGGTAAATTAGAAAAATCACGAAGCGTTTATGGTCATAATGAGCATGATTTCAATTGTTGAATTACTCTTACTATTGTCATCAATTGCACTGATAACAAATGCAAGTCAGTTACAGAAAAGCTGTATTTCAGAGGGCATGGAAATCGATGCTGGAAAGGTACGGTGGAGATGAAGATAACAACTCAAATTGAGACTAAATTATAGAAGTGTGTTGAACCCACTTGTTTTTGCTGATTTTAATGAAAAACATGACTCTTTAAGTTAATATTAAAGTAATTACTTCCAATCCGTTATTAGTCAAAACCATTTTTGTGTAACTAGTATTAAATTCTAATCAACCAATGCTAACATACACCGTGTTTCCCAAATATAAGACAGGGTCTTATTTTAATTTTCTTTCGAAAAATAACACTAGGGCTTATATGGGAGGATGCCATTTATCAAAAACAAAATTACGAAGTAGAAAATTACGAGATTTTCAAATATACAAAATATGAAACCCGATATCCATTTACTTAAAAATTTTTATTAAACAAAAAACTGCCATTATTCAAAATTGACCATATCATCATCCTCTGGAATGTCATGCCAGTCACTAGATTCATAAATTCCAATGAAGATTTTACTCATTGAACCTTTTCCTTTCTCACGCGTTTTAGTTTAACCATTTGAAACGTGTAAGAGAGATTTCTTGCCTTCGATTAGGTCAAAACAAATTTCACGCTATCGGCTAGATCTTATTTTAAGGGTAGGGCTTGGATTAAAATCATTTTTAAATTTGGGCTAGGTCCTATTTTCAGGCTATAGGACTTATTTTCGGGGAAACACCGTAATTTAGGTTTTTCCCATTTTGTAGTTATCAAAAACTACGTGGTATTCTGGACTGATGAAAACGTCTAAGGTCTCTTGTGATTCACTAATATCACGTCTACAGAAACTGGATTCCAAGCTGTTTCAAAGGAAAATGGGTCCAGGTAAATATATGAAAACAAAAAGCAAAATCTACAGAGTATAAATGTGTTACAATAAGTAAAATATTGTTGAAAATAGCTAAAATTAAAAATAAATTATTTACCTATAGTGATTCTTCTACATTTTCATATGTTGTTTAAATTACCAAATCTACCTGAGAACTCGTCCAAGAGTTACGAGTCTATTTCCTCGGATCTGATAGCATACTAATTAATAATGCTTTCCAATAAATTCTCGAAAACACAATTATAAAATTAGATAACAGGTTGCATAGAAGGACAATTTTTGTAACACCGTTTTATTTGCCAGATATGTTGAATTTGAATTTCATGTTGACTATGAAGGAGATGGAACTTATCATATTAGGAAATCAGACGATGGTATGTTGTGTACACAAAATGTATCCCAATTGAATGCTTTCAAAACGTCGTGGAAAGTTATTGATTAGCATAACAATAAAAGTACTAGTAAACTCTTTTATTATTTTCCTTCTAATTTAAGACATTTGTTAATTTTTTGACACAAATTGAACGTTTGCAGAATTTATTCACCTCGAGCACGGAGAGGAAATGAACGGACTTGCGAATGAAGCGTGTCAAATATGGGTAAAATTACTAATACATGTACATATATAATATATATTCGATATATAGATAAATTATTATTCTTTTGTTGGTCTGCAGTTAAACTCATTTAATTCTATTTGTTTTAATCAGACAACCTTTGAGACAATGCAGCTATAGTTTTTCTTTCTGACTACGAAAATTATTTTGCGGCTTTGTTATGTCCACTCGACAAAGGTATGAAAACTTATATCAAACTTTTTAAGTACTGGAAGATATTGTAAATTAAATTACCAAGTCGAAGTATTTGTTGTTGCATCATGAACTAGTACAAATACCGGAATATAAATACTCCTTCCATTGAGTTCAAACGTTTGTTCTCTACCCATTGTGGACATGAACAGCAGTCTCGTTTTGCCTTAGCTATATATATATGCAAGGTCTGGTGAACAGGATTTCGGTCTGGTCAACAGGATTTCGCAAGTAAAACCAGAGCCAACTTATTTTTAGAATGAGAGCTAAAAAAAGACAAAGTTATTAGTAGATTATCAGTAGCATTGTACATTTCTTTATGTTTATATATTTATTGGTATTCGTTATTCACCATATACTTTCTTTTCATATAGTGGGTAAATCATTATTTACTGATAGCCTAATAATAATTTACCCTATGTGGGATACCTTGTGACATCAAGATGCCAAAGATCAGATGCCCAATCAACGAATGTGAATTTGAAACAGAGGATGAGGCCTCTATTGTTGCTGCATTGCTGAATTTACACGCTACCACAAACAGCGCACAAAAAACTCAACAACCCCCAACCCAAGTTGAGAAAGTAAAACGTCCAACCATCACATCTGCTAGCTCACCTGAAGAATGGACATATTTTGAATCAAGATGGACAGACTACAAAGCTGCCACAAAAATATCTGGCCAAGACATAATTTTCCAACTATTGGAATGCTGTGGCGATCCACTGCGCAAAGATCTAACTCGCACCTCACCTAATCTTACAGGAAAATCAGAACAAGACATACTGAACGCTATCAAAGGAAAATGCCATGATCGCCAGAGTCAAGCTCGCCAACATGAAACAAGACAGAGACGAACCTGTAAGAAACTTTGGCGCCCGCATTCGTGGCCAAGCGACAGTCTGTAATGCAGTCCCTCATGCAGTCAAGATGTGAATTATACAGAAGAAATTATGCGCGACATCCTCTCTAGAGGAATAGGTAACTCCGACTTTCAACTAGATCTTCTTGGGAACCCGAACCAAAACATGACCCTGGAAGAAGTCTTCAAATTCGTCGAAGCCAAAGAATCGGGCAACAGATCCGCCTTCAGACTGTTCGATTCCCAGTCCACAGACGCCATCAGCTCATATCGAAATTCAAGTCAAGCCCACATCCGATAAGATGCAAGCCACATGTACTTACTGCGGAGAAACAGGACACGGCAAAAGTTCTCCACTGAGAATCAAATAACGTTCCTGTCCTGCTTTCAATCAGACTTGCTACCACTGCTTGAAACTACACCATTTTGAATCAGTTTGTAGAGGCAAAACATCGTCAAAAATGGTCAAACCATCACAGGAACCTGATGACATGGAGAACTCTATGTCCAATTCATTATGCTCAGTTTACAAGAATTCATCCAACGGAATGGCTCTGGACCACCACCAATATGTGCCAAAGATGGGAAAAACGCAAGTCAGATCCACAGCCATTTTTTGATATTATGATCGACATACTACCATCTGACTTTGCTAAATTGGGGTTTAAAAAGAATTTCAAACCCCAACAACAATGACTGCGACCAATAACAAATGGATACATATCCTTGGCGCCCTAGTTGCAAGATTTTCAGGAACAACTGATAACGGGAAAATAGTTCGTACCCGTCAGATCATTTACATTACCGACAGCTCGGACAAGCTGTTCTTGAGCAGAAAAGCATGCATTGAACTTGGTTTAATTTTTCAAAGATTGGCGGAGTCAACAGGGAAATGACATCAATTAACATGACGGACAAAACTTTGACAGGGACTAAGAATGGTGACATATAAAGATGCACATGTCCCCGCCGCAAACTTCCCCACCAATCCCAACGTCGTTACCATACTCGCCGAATGGGGAAAACCGACAGAAGCTACAGGAGTATCTAATCGAATAATACAAATCTAGCACTTTCAACACCTGCGAACACCAACCGCTCCCTATGATGGAAGGGCCGCCAATAAAACTTATGATAGACCCTGAAGCAAAGCCTGTCGTTCATCACACACCAGTACCCCTCCACTGGAAAGAAGAAAAAGTGGGCCTAGACAGGGACACTTATAGGACTATAGGATATTGGGTAAATTATCTGCTTTTGGTTAATAGATTACGTGTTTAAACTTAGTCACTCTAATAATATCTTAGTCATAAAATACGTAACAATTAGACGTACTGTAGGGCAGGGGTCCGCAACTACGGGGTCGCGACCCAAATTTGGGACGCGAAACCCCCGCTCTGGATCGCGAAACAATTTAAATTTTCCATAAATATGAGCATTGCGTCTGTGTAGCGTATTTATGTATAACAACTTTATAAATCACTGATTATAATTATGAATGTTTCCCCGAGTATACACTTCCTTATTTACTGTCGTAACATTGGCCAATCAGCATAATTGCAAAAATGAAGTAACAATAAACGTTTCAGAAGCGCTCAGATACTTTTTCCATTCAGACAGTCTTTCGTGGTTGTGGATATTATCTCGTTTTGGCAATTTTCGCGTGTTGTTTGTTAGTTTTTAGTTGTGTTTTGGTAAATATACGTCCTAATCAAATAACTAAGTCCTAATTCTTGAAATAAGAACCAATAATTTTGCAATGGTAGAGTGTAGATTCAAGAGGAAGAATTCAAGAGATCAAAAGTCGAGGAAACATTCGTTACTTAGTTGTTCGCATTGTTACATCCTACTACGTAGACTTTAGGTTTTCAAAATGCTCCGTACGCACCCTCAGGACTCCGTTAAAGACACTTAGACCTCCGCGAGCTATTCGTTCACTTGAAAACTGTCCTCGACCCACTGCCCTACATCAATCTACTTATCTATCCTCGACCCACTGCCCGACCTCCCTCAACTTTCCTATCCTCAACCCACTGCCCTATCTCCCTCAACCTTCCTATCCCCCAACTTTCGCATCCCTGAACCTTTCCCTTCTCGACCTACTGCCCTATCTCCCTCAACCTACCTATCCTCAACCCACTGCCCTATCTGCTACAACTTACCTATATTTGACCTACGGTGCTATACTATTCAGTACTATTATTTGAACTTTACTATCTTGCGACCAACTTCTATGCGTTAAAGTGGTCGTGTATGCCAATGAGATGATTCAATCGTACGTCGACAAAACAGGATTGACGGCATTCGTATAATATGTAGGCTGGAATCTCAAATGGTAAACAATAACCACAATTGACAGTTTAAAAATGTGTTACTAATTGGGCTACTGATAGTTTCTTGCTGGGAATGACAGTTTTCTAAATTTTAATAATTATTTGAATATTTTCAGCGTCATTAAACCATTCGCGCTCAGCATCAACTTTTTTACGTTCTGTTGCCATTTCTCTAATTATAATCAATTATAGGCTTAATAAACGAGTGAATGTGAAATATATACTTGTTAGGTTATAGTATAATTTAGTTTCTCAAAACAAATTTTGACACGTAAAGAATATATTCGTCAATAAAGCTGTTTTGTTAATATAATTCAGTGAAGCGCCGCGGGCCGAATCCGAATGTGGTTTGCCGACCCCATATTTAAACCCTCCAATGAAAGTTTGATCATTTTTACTGTGTCGGCCGATATTTGTCATCACTGCATCTAGAAATCACTGATACATTTATGCATAGACCGAATTCGATATGAAAGTATCAAATATGATTGGCTTCATAACTGCAAACTCTCCCTTAACAACGAAACATTGCGATAATCCTAAGTGCTGAAAGAGCAACTCAAAAATACGATTTCAATCCATTCCTTGCTAGTAGACGGTTAAAAAGTATTCCATGGTTGCCGTTGTGTAGTATATTAGTCAACTCAAAGGCGAGCAACGATGAACACAATTGGATGATATGAAAGACATTTTAATTCACGGGTCGGCCATGGATTGAGCGATGAGTGTTGCTCGGGAATTTTCTATTCCGAACCCCCTCCCTTATAGACAGGGTTGCCATACCGTGCTTATTTCTAAGATTTTTGCTTATTTTCTAGCCCGCGTCTTATAAAGTAACGATGTGCTTATTTCTAAGTAAAGTGCTTATTTTTGAGTCGCGTGCTTATTTGGTCTTAGAAACGTGGATGACCATAGTTGCTGCTAGTTTTTAGGAATACTGTTTTTAGGGACAAACTGCAATTTAGAGTAAGCGTAACCATGAGTTCTGTTTCGAACATGAAAAGAATTTTTTTTTATTAACTACTGCTATTGCGACATCGAGAAAGGTGGAAAACAGTAATCGGTGCCCACAATACTACCATAAAAACACAAGAAGCATTGTGGGAAACCAAAGTATGAGGACTTTAGGTTAGAGGTCGGACGCCTGCGGGCCATATCCGCCGCACGGAGTAAAATAATCCGGCCCACAGTGCTCACTTAAACCTACGGATCGTTATTATGTTATTCTTGTTCTTCATTAATAATTCGTTTTCCAATCTTTATGAAAAAAAATCGCTTTTGTTTTCAATTACTTAACCAAAATAAAATTTTCCTTGCGAAGAACTAGGATTAGTGATAGACAGTTGAACGAGTTGTCGCAGTGTTCGCTCGCTATTAAAGTCCGAAATTTGAATTTCTAATCTGTATGTGGTTCATCAGCCACCCGTTCAGTTTTTAACTTTCTTGAAAAAATATGTGCGGCCCGCCAAGATTCGTAACACTTGGTTTTGGCTCGGGAGCGACAAAAGTTGCCGACCCTTGTCTTAGAGATTGCGTGTGGCAGTGACTTCGTCTCTTTCCATAGCTTTTTGCAATTTTAGAGCTGCGTACAACGTAGTAGTATATATTTACGGTACAACCATGTTCGAAGCGACTTCTAATGATAAAAAGTGGGAGACTCGTGTATGATTTCATGCCTATTTTTGGCTCTGGGTAGATGGCAACCCTGCTTATAGAAAACCATGGCTGCTGCGCCCTTAGTTATAGATAATGTTATATTTGAATCACTACCACATTTTGAAACCACCGTCGTCAAATTTTATTAGTGATGGTAATGCTTCTTCACAGATACAAAATTAACCAAGTCAGTTTTCCAAGTGAAAGAATAGCTCGCGGAGCCCTGAGGCTCCGTAGGGAGCACTTATAGCAGTGGGGATCAACGCCCGACAAATAACTCATCTTCTCACCCTCATCGGATAGAAATACATCACTCAAACCCTAAATATAAGCGGAATAACAGCGAATATTGTATAAAGATTGGTTCCACGTGTATCTTACAGCAAAGCATCCAAAATTCATTAAAAAACCAATACATTTTCCCGCCTATCAGCGTTTTCATACATAAAATACAATTACAGATCAAGGCTAGAGGTAGAAAAATATCTTCGAGTTGCTGTCTCCCAAATTAAACCTCGATTTGATATGTTGTGTATTATACACAAAGCTTATAATTTGCATTAGTCATAATAAACGCTATTATTCACAATTTTATGTGATAAGTTTCATATAATTTTGTGCAAGAAAAATGCTAGTGTCGACAATAGTCTTAAAATCGATAACTAATTACATGTTTACCAAATGCTTGGGTCGCGAGAAGTTGAAATTTTTTTTGGTCGCGCTAAAATGTAGTTGCGGACCCTTGCTGTAGGGTACGATGACGATAATGCGTCATGCCCTAAGGATACCAAAACCAGCATAAAAGCGACCATTCGTTAGGAGAGAAAAAGGGGATAACGATAGACAAGTAATTAACGAACTCGGGCTTGCAGTGAAACTTAGATTTAACAGTCATGACTTGAACTGATCTTTGTATTTGTAAATATACAATTGCAATACATGTATTCGGAACCAGGAGTATGTCTTCATAAGATCAGATCAGAGAGCAACAGAAATAGCCAGAAACAACCGCAAATACAAAAACAATAGCAAATACTCATTTGTTCCCTAAACACTCAACTAGGAGTAATCGAACCTGTCCCTATCGATCACATGGTGCCACGAAATGGTTATATGCGCAAAGAAAAATGGTAAGCCTCGACGAACTGTTGATCTACAGCCCCTGAACAAGTTTGCTACTCGCGAAACACATCACACTTTATCACCTTTCTACCAAGCTCACCAGGTACCTCGTATCACAAAGAAGACAGTTTTCGATGCTTGGAGCGGCTACCATAGCCTACCCCTACACAAAGATGACCGCCATCTAACAAGTTTCATCACACCTTGGGGCAGATACCGTTACAAAACAGCCCCACAGGGATATATTGCATCTGGCGATGGCTACAGCAGACGTTTTGACGAAATCGCCTCTGATATTTCTGACAAAACGAAGTGTATCGATGACACATTATTATGGTCGGACAGCATTGAAAAAGCATTTTTCCAAGCTGTTCAGTGGCTCGAGCTTAACCGATGCCCGGTCCTGGTTTGGCATGGTGAACCAGGTATCATACGCTTTTGCATCAGATGAAAAGATGTTATCATTCCGCCAATAGCTCCAGCCGTCGACCAAATTTGTCTGGACGGAAGAACTCAACCAGCTCTTTGAGGAATCCAAAAAAACAATCATCAGAGAAATTGAATCGAAATCTATGACAAAGATAGACCCACATGCCTAACCACTGATTGGAGCAAAACCGGGATAGGATTCCGGCTTCTTCAAAAACACTGTTCATGTCCCACACAAAACCCATTCTGCTGCAAATCAGGATGGAAAATAACACTTGTCGGTATCACGCTATGCGTCAGTAGAAGGCGAGGCCCTAGCTGTTGTTGACGCCCTTGAGAGAGCGCGCTATTTTGTTCTTGGGTGCGAGAACCTTACAGTTGCTGTTGATCACAAACCACTCTTGAAAATATTTGGAGACAGATCACTGGAGAACATTTCGAACCCTCACCTAATGAACTTAAAAGAAAAGTTGCTACGCTACCATTTCAAAATGATACACGTTCCAGGCCTAAAAAACCTAGCGGCTGACAGCATGTCAAGACATCCAGTTGGTAAAGCAACAAAGATGACATTGATTGATGACATATCTGCATTAGATAACGCAATCGAGCATTCTAATGATCATAATTCGATACCCTTTCTACCTGGCTCTTTCATTGCTAACATCTGCATATCTAATGAATCAGAGAAGTTTCTCACATCCTGCGAAAATGCCACCACAATCCATGCTCTCAACAGCCTACAATCAGTTACATGGGACGACGTAAAAGTAGCCACTAATAGCGACCCAGGCATGTCAAAACTCATGACTATGATCAAAGATGGCATCCCAGAATTCCGTATGAACTCCCCGTGGAACTACGCGAAAATCATAGATTTCGTAACGACCTCCACACTTACGACGGGATAATACTCTACAACAGGGGTGGGCAACCCCTGGCACGCGTGCCAAAATTGACTACAAAGAATTATATTATGACGTAACAAAAGAGTGAGGTCCCGAGAAATTTTGTCGAGAAGACCGCAGCATTCATTTGGCTACATTCTTACGTAATATAGTTCGTCTGTGCTGCCCTTTTTCTTCATTTCTGCCTGATTTATGAAGTATAGCTCATGTTGGTTAGAGTTACTATTTGCTACCTTACTGTTATAAATTGATTTCGAAAGAACTATAAGCGATTAGGGAAGGGAATACAAGAGAGAAGTGCAGAAAACGAATTATTGCATGATTGGAATGCCATTGCCAAAAATATTTCGTGTCTTAAAAACTTTGCAACTGCATTACTCATGTATGTTTTCATTTACATATGCTTGTGAATCTCTGTTCTCAGTTATGAACTTTATTAAGTCTCGTAACAGGAGTATCCCAAAAGATGAAACGAGTAGTTTGTCTATTTTTTTGAAAGTTACCAAATATAAAACCAATGTAAAATCTCCATCAGCGGTAATGCAGCAGCAGATGGCTCACTGATATAGAATAAGAAAGGTAATCAAATCTATTTGCCGGACTGATATTTTACCGAATAGTGGATCTGTCTGTACATGTTTAAAAAGTTTTTTGTTTTGACAGTAGCAAAGCATTGTTTCTATATTGGTAGGCACGCGGAAGAGTTATGTCGTTAAATTCAGCCGATTTTGGCACCCGAGCCGAAAAAGGCCCACCCTGCTCTACAAGAACCGGATTGTGGTTCCACCGTACCTCAGGGAACGCATCCTAAAATCCACTCATTCGGCCCATCAAGGGTATCATCTATGTCAGGGATGGCGAACCTTTTTCAATGAATGGGTCAAAAATTATATTTTTATCGCGGAACAGAAGAGAGTGAGTCACAGATATTCCAGTACTAGACTCAAGTGCATCTATTGGATATTTACCCAGGCTAATCAGTGTGGGTAATATGTTTATGTCTCTGTCTTTTATTAGTGATAATTGCCATTTTCTTTATTTTTCGAATTGCCTAAATATGTGCCTAGCATATGTGGTGACCAAGCGCGTGCGACTGCCTTTAATACTACGTTTTAAATATTGTTATTGAGTTTGCCCGTTGCAATTTGCGTTTTCAACATTTAATTTGACCATGTTTAACTAATTAATTATGTTTTTAAAAGGTATTACGCCCTTTTTATTTTTTTTTCCAAAGTGCCTAAATAAGTGCCTAATTTGCGATTGCCTACTTTTAGTCCGTCCCGGTTTTAGGTCTATCTCGTTTGTAGGCAATGTACGCATGCTATGACACTGCAATGCGGCTTTGTTTGGTAAGTTTGCATATTTTTGTAATGATTTATTAGTGTCTGGGTATGGTAGGCACCGTATAGTGACAAATGGACGTTCCAGTTACCGGTACCAGAGAGAGGGAGAGAGATTTATTTTTTCGTCAACCAAAATAAAACAAGAGAGCTATGCTCAAATATATGGACACGTAGAGTCACATAATTTTGATGACGTCATAGCGAAAAAAAAAGTAATAGCCTTCTGGAGAAAATTTTTATCTTTAACCACTGAAAATTTCAAAGCAATTGGTCCAGTATTCGAAGAGAAAAGCGACTTTTTAAAAACGTGTCAAAGAACAACAACAACATAATATTGAAACGATCGTTATGTCCACTACGTGTCCAATAACAGTCATCGTAATAATAGAAGGTTCATGTATATACGTACCGGAAGTCTACTGTCTGACTGTGTAGTCCGGTAGTCATTTCCCAATATCTGAATATTAAGCTGAAATGTAGTATTTGCCCTTATACCGGTACCGTACTGCTCTACAGTCTTAGGCCTACCGGCCTATGCGGTAGTCTGTTAGTGTTCTCAGCATGTCATTCAAATTTCGCTTATTTTACAGTATCCACAGTCCAGCAGACGGAGCCGAAAGGTGAGAAAAAAACAGGCTAGGACTGGGCATTTCGGAAAAAACATAGACTACCTAATATTCCAATATTGGAAATTTTTGCAGAGCTGCAAAAGAAATAACTAATCTATAGTCTACCAGTATACGAAAATAACATACGGTATACCATATCTCTGATACCAATAAAATGAGTAGAAGATCAAATGTTTGGCAGCATTTTTCACTACCTGTTCAAAGCAATTCAGGAAAATCAGAGACAGAATGCAAATGGTGCCATGAGAAATTTGCTTTTCACGGAACGACAAGTAATTTGAGCAATCATATGAAGAGAAAACATCCTGGAATAAAGTTGGAAGAAGAACAGCTGTCAAGAGGCACCAGTTCTTCAGCGAAGCAAACGAGGTTGGAGCATTTCCGCCCTATCTCTCAGGCTAGACAAGAAGAGATAACATGCTTAATCACAGAATTTGTGGTGGCGGATATGAGGCCTTTGTCAGTCGTTGATGGAGTAGGCTTTAGGAACCTATTGAAAAATCTGCAGCCTTCATATGCAATGCCATCGAGGCAGACAATTGCCAGAAGAGTAGAGACAATGTTTGCTGGAAAAAAGCTTTTCTTGAAAAAAAAAGGCTGTCTGATGTTTCTCATGCATCTTTAACATGTGATGCCTGGACCAGTATAAACATGCAGGGATATTTTGCAGTTACTTGTCACTACATTGACAAGGACTTCAATGTTTGTTCTGCTGTGCTTGGTGTTAGACCATTGGATGATCGGCACACAGGGGAAAACATTATACAGTGGATTGAAGAGACTCTAGCAGACTATGACCTGAATCCTTCGGTGGTGGTTGCAGCAGTGAGCGACAATGCGGCCAATATGATTTCCGCTAAAACTCTTCTTTCTCGAAAACATGGATGGCATAATCTTGAATGCACAGCGCATACACTACAGCTGTGTATTCAAAAAGGCATAAAAATTCCAGCTATCGACAAGGCCTTAGGATCAGCTAGGCGGCTTGTGCAGCATTTCAAGAGGTCTGAACTCGCCACTTCTGTTCTATAAAAAAAATGCATTGATCTTGGCATAACACCAAAAAAACTGATTATGGATGTTGCAACGAGGTGGAACAGCACCTACTACATGGTAGACAAACTACTAGAACTGCAATGGGCTGTAATCCAGGGCTGGGGAGCTGGCTTAAAATCAGTGTGACTCCAGCTCCAACTCCAGAGCCAGAGTATATTCGAGCTATGGCTCCGACTCCCAACTCCGGAGCTTCATTTTTTAGCCCGGAGCTGGCTCCAGCTCCGGCTCCGCACACTATAATGTATTTGATAGTACCGCTAAGCTTATCATTCACAAAAAGTCAATGCCTCACTGTTATTTAATTCATGATTTTATCACACACTTGGTAAGGGAATCATGAAAAATCAAGTTAACACTTAATATTGTGAGTTTCAATGGATATCTTATATTTCTATATTTCCCGGCTGTTATAGACCCCATTTTTTGGCCTGAGGCATCTTATTGGGCAGCTAGGCTTGCTTGATTTCTGTGGCCAACTGATCAGCGTATTTTTCGCAGATGTTTTCTCAAACATGATTTGTGTTAACCGTACATTTGGGTTGATATATTTTATATTGTGAAGAAAAGATTTACATATAGGAACCGATAAAAGAGCTTAAACATATGGCGAACCACGGCCATACTTAAATTAAATCACATTTGTGAATAAGTATGTAACACAAATTTCACTTGGTAAATTGCTTTTGAACAATAGAATTGCACTCTGAGCACTATTCTATAAACTACAGTCGATGCAGGACAGAAAACGTGAAATGCAATAATCTTTGTACATGGAATTTTGGAACACTTAAAAATAACAACTTGCCTATTAAAAGTAGTTTTAATTACCGTATGTATTCGAAGACGCCAAAGGGTCTGCTAATCATGATATTTAATTGACTTTGTATTGCCAGCTGTTATTTGTCATATTCCCTACAAACATTCAAAATGGTTTTCACTACCTTTTTAACTTAAAATTACCATGTTGTTGTTATGAATAGTTAATTTTGTGAGTATGATTATACCAAACAAACATGATCTGTTTCTAACCATATAAAATTATTACCGCATGGCGCATATTAGTGCATAACTGACCAACAGAAAAGTCTGTCGTCTTATTGGATAGCTATAAAAATAGACATCGTCTTTTTTGCCGGGAAATACAGTATATTACTAAATGTTATTGAAATTAAAGTGAATAAAAACTAATTGAACATTGAATGGCCATCACATAATTTACGAGCATTTAAAATGAATTTGTTCTTAAGAACAGTATCGCTTCTACTAAATCTTCTTTCATTGAGGCTCGCAGGTCCGAACGAATTATGCGCAGGGCCGAAAACAATCTTTCCACACTAACTTGGGTTGGAGGCAATGCTGTCACCATATATGCCATTTTGAACTATTTCTGGATATTCTGGGATGGCTTTTAGAATATCCAACTTATATGAGCGATCTATTTTTTCTACATCATTTAAAGCATAAAAGAAGTCTCTTTTGAATTTGGAAAGCGGTGATAGATCTGAATTTGAGTTTCTACTTTCCTTTCTGTTCGACGACGTTTGGCTTCAATGTCAAGGTGTTTTTCAAAATCTATTTCGCATTCGGAACCAGAATCAGAGGAGTTCCTTAAAGGCCCACTAGCACAGAGTGATTGGTCTTCAAATTGTGTAGCGCGTGATCCACGGTGCATTCGAACAGCTATATCACATAGCGCTGCCTTTCCTCTATTGAGCTGTTCTTCACTTAGGGTAACCCTGTACATAGGATCAACATAAATAGCCGCTAATAATACAGGTTATCGAGGAGACATTTTTCTCTGCGCAGCATAGATGCTTTTATAGCATCTGCAATGATGCTAATGGATTGTGAAAGTTTATAAATGAGGTTTTTCCACTCTTTATAAAAATACCCTGGTGTCAAATCTTGTGCCTGTAACCTTTTGGTGACTAAATAGGGCTCCCGAAGTAATTCTTCTAATTGATGTGTCTGTCGCCATTGCAAATCAGTCAAGGTATGTCTGGATTGGCCATGTCAATTAAACTGTTTTTTATTTAAGAGCCGCTGAATCATTAAGTAGGTGCTACCCCACCTAGTGGCTTGATCTATTATTGCACCTTTTCCTGTTCTACGCTTCAATATAGCATCTATTTTAGGCGTCCTGGCCATGACTGAGGTTTGACGTAGCTTACTTAGTAAAGTGTGTACATGCTTTTCTTTCAAACCATCACGAATAGCAAGCTGAAGGGTATGTACTGCACACCGCATGTGCTCAATTGTATGAACAGCTGTTATGCTGTTTACAGCACTAACTAAAGCTTCATCTGATTCACCTTCATTCAACTCATCATCACGTTCAACCTCGTCCCCAATCATATCTGCATTAAGTTTCTCTATTGTTTTTGTCATGTTAGAGGCATTATCTGTCACAATCGCTAATATATGTTCTTTTCTAATTTCAAACTCTCTCAGAACTTCCTCAACAAATTTTTGAATAAATTCACTTGTGTGTTGAGCTTGTGTATCCCGTACTGATAATGTACGGATGGCTATTTCATTTTTATAATCCACAAATTGAACATTTATAGCGAAATAATTAGTTCTCTGTCTAGTACAAGCGTCCATTTTCAAAAAACAAAATTTCCCATGTAATATATCCTTTAACACTCTTTTCTGACACTCGGCTTCCTTCACCACCATATCTCTTATATCATGTCTCTCCAGTGATACTCCCAATTTGTTGGCCATTTCTCCATTTAATCCGAGGAATGCTTTCGAAGAGAACAGTTGAATGCAGCTGCATTATTCACCACCAGCTGTATGATATGTCTCTGGAATTTTTCTTTAGTCATGGAAATGGTCACTTTTTGACTTGTGAAGTAGCTTGAGACAGAGGTTTGTCTACTTATATCGCTGTCTCTCTTTGTGTCTTCACTGTCTTCTTTTTTGACAGACTCGAAGGCATCAAAATGATGTCTTTCCAAATGCCGCTTCAAATTTGAAGTTTTATTGATGAACCTGAGATTGCAAACGGCCCCATCTTTCTTTAATACTTGGCAGATTAGTGCATTTTTATCTCCACTCTCTTTGAAATATTTGAACACTGCGGACTTTTTACTTTTGCAAGCCATGGTACAAGGGTTGCATTCTTACAAATTAATTTTCTCTAATTTAATATTAAATACTATTTAAAATGAAATATTATATTGTCATGAATGGCATTAAGATTAGGTAAGCATTTTCTACAAGCGAGAAATTGTATCGTATACAATATACATCAACTGGCCATTCCGACACCTAGGCATGCAAGCCAGCATGTCATGTTTCAGCATTGCTTGAACATGCCCAGACATGTCTACGTGGTCGTTACTGTTAGTTACGTCACAAAGGTAAATTAGCGATCGGCCGATCGCTTTTTTCTTGTCCACAATTGCCGATGTATTGCGCAAGCCACACCTGTACTACAATCAATTATTGCGCAATCCCGATTTCGACTAAATCCACTGAACACACTCCATGTGACCTACCGCGTCGCATCATTATATCGCGGTGCAATTTATGAGACGAAGACAAGAAAACAAATCGCATTTTTTTCGGAATCCATTTTACGTTATATACAACCAAGCTGAGAAAGCCATGACCTAATTATATACGACACTTCAGATCTAAATTCGGAAATATTACATAATATTTAGGGATTCCCAAATAGTCAAAACGCCCCTCTTTGCAATATAGTTTTGTTTTTTACTAGTAGTCGTTAGCGGCAATGAGGTTTTTTAGATCGCCGAAATCAAATTATTCGCAATAATATTTCTAGAAATTTAAGTCGTCTGTTTTTTTTTTATCTACAAAAGTATTTTTAACACTTGCCAGTAAATACCATTTATTAGAAAAAGAAAAGCAGTGAGGAGTTGTAATCAGGTAATCGTAAAATAGCCGGTTGCATTGGCCACTAATCGACATCAATAAATATTAGTATACATATATATATGGTAATTTGATCGTATAGCAAAAAATGAATTAAGTGTGCAACCCCGTTAACGACCGCGACTGCTTGTAGTTCTCAAGCATGAAACTTAAGTTTCACAGAAAACAGTATATCAGAATGCATTACCGCTATTTTTCACGACAAAATAACTTTATCAGTCCATATTGCTATATCAAAGTATTCCGATACTTTTTCAAATTTTAAAGTAATAGTCACTTTTCGCAAGCTGTTTGTTTGTTTCGTTTCCGTGCAAAATCTTCAAACGATTTTATGCACTTTGTCATGTGTTTTTAAGACGACAAAATAGAATTGTTAGATTGTTTGGTATGTATATTCATTTTTCAGTGCGCGTTACAGCATTCTTTCACGGTTGCATGGTGGATATTGTCGCCATTTTCGCATTTATTTCCAAGTACGTCGGGAAATTATTAATTATGTAAAGTTATTATTAATAACTAAACGCACTCACTTTTAGAAAACCTTCCCGCAAAGCGTTTATTCTTGCCAATCCCGCGAGCGAATGGAAGTGAAATCAAAATTTGAATATTATTATGTTCACACGTCTCGCTTAGATCCAACCAAGGTCATATATTAAATAAGTTGTTTTCATACGTTTTGTTACGATACCCCAATAAACTTTCGCAAGTCGGAAAAATAAGTTGCTTTATTGGGAAGATTAGGAAATATAATTTATACTTTTTCCTGCGCTTTGGCGAATAATTTTGTTTATAATATTTTAAAAAAAACGACTTGTCAGAAAATAATTTTCTATTGTGCTAAAAATGTAACCCATTACCGATACCAGCACTTGCCTTATTGTTTTTATTCTGTTCAAAGTAACTCAATGTTGCGTCGACTTACGAAATAATAAAAGCATCTCTGACATAAATGACAAGCTACGGACGTAAAATGTGTGGAAAACTGCCCGATTATAATTAATTTTGATTCATATTTTTGCGATCTTGCAAATCGTTATCGCCGTTTAAAAATACCAAGATCCGTGATATAATCCAACACTATTTACTTTAGAACAATAGTAACTTGATTACGGTAATTATACAACTATTTAGTTCTGTTAAGTGTTTGGAGACGCCAGAAATTATAGAATTAAAATCGGCGTAATTATTATTTCTCAACCCTAGAAATTATTAAAAAACCAGAAAAGTAAAAAAAAAAAATAATTCTATTGTCAGGAGCTGGAGCCGCTGAAATTTCTGGCAGCTCCAGCTCCATCTATCATGGCCAGCTCAGCTCCAACTCCGACTCCGGCTCCATCAAAATGTCACGGCTCCATGGCTCCAAGCTCCAGCTCCGACTCCCCAGCCCTGCTGTAATCAGCACATTAAGTGACCCAACTGTTACCCAGTTGAAGAACGCCCAAACAATTGCACCAAAAACCTCCGACTGGGAGTTATTTCGCCAGATTAAACCTCTTCTGAAGCCATTTGCAGATGCCACCGATATACTTGGAGGACAAGGCTATACATCCCTGTCTTCCAAATACCCTATCATAAAAGGGCTTAAAAAGCACCTCATCATTGACAGAGATGAAGGCTGCTGGATGAAAGAATTCCGCAAGAAAGTGATAGGGGAAATGGAACAGAGATTCTCATTCGATATTGGAGACATCGCCCACAAAGCTGCTGCCTTTGACCCTAGATATAAATTGAAAGGTCTTGAGTTCTGTGGATTCGACGCAGGTAGGAAAAATTTTTTGTACCCTACTTAGTTCATTTTTGTTTGGTCTCGACCATTAGACAATAAATCTGATAAGATTAAAATAGCTTGGTGACTCAAGTGTTGACATTTTGTATTACATTTACAGGTCAAAGGTGCACTAGAGTTGGACTTGGCGAAAATTCTCCAAAAACACAGTCCGACTCATTCAGAAGCTGCGGCCCCAAGTATACAATCATCACCACAGTTATCACCTGTGGGAAAAATTCTCAAGTTGGCCTTTGACAGCTCTGAATCGGACTCCTCCACCGACACCGATCCAGTTTCAATGGGCGATGAAATTAACAAATATTTTTCTTTGAAAGTTGTGGCCGATAATAAAGATCCCTTGATTTGGTGGAAAGAGAATGAGAACCTCTTCCCAAATCTGGTGAAGCTTGTACAAGAATATTTGGGAATACCAGCAACTTCAATGCCGAGTGAAAGGGTGTTTTCTGTTGCTGGAAACACGGCTACGGAACTTAAATCAAGCCTGACAGGTTTCCACGTAGAAGCTTTAGTATTTCTGAAGGCTAATAAAAATTTATGGATTAGCAAATAATCCAAGTTACTGGTTTCAAATGCTCCTCCATGAACTATTGACTCAATTGGTGTATTTTGCAAGAAAACTTTTTGTACCTGTCTGGTTTGACAGCCACAGTTCTTCGCTAACCTCTTGCAGCAATTTTGTTGCCTGTTTGTTCGACAAAACAACCAGGCTATTTTATTTCTAACTAGTTTAATACTGTGCCTCCCTTAAGCCTTTACTGTGCCTCACTATTATATTTTTACATTTCATTGCATATGAAGCTTGTGATTTTCATGTTCCTGTTTCTTCTTATTACTTAAATATGCAGGTATTCTTTCACTGCCTTATAGCTACTTGTTAATTTTTCGTGTTAGTGAAGTTGGAATAAAATATTCACAAGTTGCATTCAGCCACATATTTCTGCTAGTGCAATTTTTTATGGGCTTTGCATTTGGTTTCTTTTGGAAGCATTTTTTGTAACCTGTCTGGTTTGACAGCAACAGTTCTTCACTAATCTCTTGGCAATTTTTTATTATTTCTAACTAGTTTCTAAAATAGACACTTTGCCTCACGTTACTGTGCCTCACTATTATATTTCACATTTCATTTGCACATGAAGCTTGTGATTTTCATGTTCCTGTTTCTTCTTATTACTTAAATATGCAGGTATTCTTTCACTGCCCTACAGCCACTTGTTAATTTTTCGTGTTAGTGAAGTTGGAATAAAATATTCACAAATTACATTCTGCAACATATTTCTGCTAGTGAAATTTTTCTTGCATTTATCATGGGCTTTGCATGCCATATTAAACTGAATTCATCTAAATTATAATTGTGTGATCTGTGAAGGAAGTATGTGGGGTCTGTATAATACCGGTATTTAAAATATTTTAGGCTTTTTTGACCAGTTTATAGAGTAATGAACGTGGATTATGCTTCTGGGAACACAGTTGTGCAAAATTTTGTCACTATTTCATATATGATTGCACATACCTTATCATAACATTGAGGGGAAAGTTTTTATTGTACAATTGAGACAGATTTAAAATTGCGCAATAATATTCGGTTCGATTCGAGGAAAATATTCGGTTCGATTCGAATCAAAAAATTATTCGATTTTGGACAGCCCTAGTAACATCTAGTTCTCGTATAGTCCCTAAAACAGTCTGCAGATGCACATCTGAAAGAGACCGAGAAATGAACAGATCTATTGCATTGTTATGTCATAAACGATGTCAGAGCCAATAGCTGAATACATGCGTCCAAGATTAGAGGTTTTGAAAATTACCGGCCCGAAAATTAACAATTTGAATATGAGCGATCGCAGCCCTGACTGTGCAACTGCTGGTACATTATAATAGTTTAGTTATTGTTAGATTAATTCGAAGCCGGTTTTATCAATTTTTATCACTGATATGTTAGCAGTTTTTATTTTATTAGGGCCTTGGCGGGTCACGAATAAAACGCGGTGGGTCCAGTGATTTCCCTACACCCCCCCCCCTATAGGGGGTGAACACCCCCCCTAAAATTTCAAACACCCCCCCTAATTTTGAGATGCGATTCCACACTGAGGGTTCTAAACCGCAGTCTGCGGGCCAATTACGGCCCGCGTTACGATTTAAAATGGCCCGCCGAACTTGAGAGCAATAGTTTAACCCTTCATGTGGTACCTTTTGAGTTTTAGATATCGTCTATTGTTACATCATTATCACAGTTTAAGCACGTTTATTTCGTAACAATTGAATTATTCCGGTATCTTATGCATACGTATGGGTATTAGGATTACACTGCAGTATTTTAGATATCAGCCGTATATTAAGAAAGCTTAAAGATGTCACAAAACGAAAACTAGACACTGAAAGCAGACGTTTTTTAGATGAATGACAGCGTTTTTATTTCTTTATTGAAAAGAATCAAACTTCAGCGATTTGTCTTCTTACCAACAAAATATTTCAGTTCTGAAGGAATACAACATTATGCGACATTATGATCAGTTGACGAGCGTATTTCAAAATTTAATTCATACAAAAGTCCAACAAACATGTTCAAAAAAATTAGAAATGTGTAACAAAACTAGCCATAAGTAGGCATTCATGCAATGCCAGATGAGCAAGTAACTTCATTAGTCACTATCAGTTGCAAATTACTTGTTGAAACGTAGTAGTATATATTTACGGTTGAAAGCCGTGCTTGTTATCTGTTCTGAATTCTATCAGCTAGATGTTATAATTATTGATTTCATTACATAACAAACTGCGATGCTATGTGTTTCTAAAATCAAGCTTAGAGCCTATTTTGGTAACTATTTCTCAGAATTTTCTCAGCCGTGTCGTCCCGCACTTTTCCTCGCTCCCCTTTTCTGGCCCTACTATTTCATTCTGCTGTGGATTTTGGCTCGCGGGCAATCAACTCAGGGGGCCCTCATGTACATCGTTTCTCAAATACATACCATTTTTTTAAGAATGCAAATATCCTAGTTTTATCTCTAAAAGCAAAGTATTTACCACCCCCTAAATTTTGAAACACCCCCCCCCCCCCTGTCATGACATCACGAGCAGAGACATCCGTATTCTGGCCAGGCATCCCAATTGGTTTCATAGCTGCGAGGACAAGATGCAAGCACTGCAATCGTATGGCACCATCTCAGCCAAGCAACCCACCTACGCCCACAATCCAACCAGTATATCCATTCCAATTTATATGTGCAGACTATTTTCACTATAAAGTGTTTAACTACCCTGTCATAGTCGACAGATGTTCACGAATGGAGAATTAAACACGGATGCATTCCAGCGAGCGATGCTACAGCCTACAATATCGCAACATCCCAGATCAGGATACTAATATGTCTCCGGCCATGCAGGTATTTGGTAGGCCAATTCGGGACTTTATTCCTATTCCACCCGGAAAATACGTACCTCAACAGACATGGCGAGAAACAAGAACAGCCAGAGAGGAAGCCTTGAGAAATCGTCACATGAAGGCTGCGGAACGCTGGACTGAACACATGCGACAACTCCCTGCCTTGGAGATCATGTCCGAATCCAAAATCGAACTGGCACACATCCGAATAAATGGGATAAGACTGGAATTATCATAGAGGTGAAACAGTTTGACCAATACATGGTTAAAGTTGACGGATCTGGTCGAATTATCATGAGGAACAGAAAATTTCTTAGGCGATATGTACCAATGTATCTTAGGAGAAACAAGAACAGCCAGAGAGGAAGCCTTGAGGAATCGTCACATGAAGGCTGCGGAACGCTGGACTGAACACATGCGACAACTCCCTGCCTTGGAGATCATGTCCGAATCCAAAATCGAACTGGCACACATCCGAATAAATGGGATAAGACTGGAATTATCATAGAGGTGAAACAGTTTGACCAATACATGGTTAAAGTTGACGGATCTGGTCGAATTATCATGAGGAACAGAAAATTTCTTAGGCGATATGTACCAATGTATCTTAGGAGCCCAATTATCGACCTCTTTCAAAATATGGCATCCCCATACATGCCACAAATTCAACATGGCGCACGTCCAAAAGCGTTGACCGGTCACGAACAATACCACCCGATGATGAAGCAAAAATCCGTACTCCAGAAGAATAAACACCAGAGAGCGAACCCAACCACCCGCAGAAACCAACAACTGAGTCCCCGATGACACCAACATCTTCAAACTATAAGAAACTACCTAGAGCAGG